TTGGGGATGGTCGACAGGGTTCATAACTACTCCTCTTACTACAGGACGTTTACCTAGCCAACATTTCGATCCGGCTCTACCCAAACTTTTCTGGTTTACCCCAACATTTCCCACTTGTCCGACTGTTGCTGAGCAGTTTTTGGATATCAAACGGACCTCTCCAGAAGGTAATTTTAATGTGGCCGATTTCCCCTCTTTTGCAATCAGTTTCGCTACAGCACCCGCTGCTCTAGCTAATTGTCCACCCTTTCCAAGTGTGATTTCTATATTATGTATGGCCGTGCCTAAGGGCATATCGGTTGAAGTAGATTCTTCTTTTTGATCAATCAAAACCCCTTCCCAAACTGTACAAGCTTCTTCCAAAGCATACGGCTTTCTGGATGTAGATGATGATATCTATACGGATGTATCTTCTATATATCGTAGAATTCTTCTATATATGGTAGAAGTACCACACGAGTGGATATAGATATATAGGAATCAAAATCTGCCGAATAACTTATGTTATGATCTTCTACATCCTAGGTCTTCCCGTTCCGTCATCTGGCTTATGTTCTTCATGTAGCATTCAGACCGAATGACTCTATGAAATTACGTCGATACTTCCACATACTTTCGTGAAACCCAGAATCAGTGCGTCATCATACACAAAACCCAATCGGAATCAGCGCTTAATCGAAACCCAGTGGTGAGGAATTGAAGAAGGAGAGTGAAGATTTTTACCAGAGGAAGAAGCACGGAGAACGATGGCTCAGTGGCGACAACGCGGAGACAAATAAATTGAAAACGGCATGGTTTTTATTTTGTAGACACAGTGTGCAAAATGCGTGCCGTTTTTACAGATTTAATCTTCTAGAACAGCAGCATGTTGTAGATGTGATGAACATTAGAAAAGGATGAATTTAATGTTAGTTTTCTTTTAATCTAATAATTTCGATTACATATTCCAAGTTTTGTTTTTGACTCAGTCATTTTTTGTAACAGTTTTATATAAGTATATTAAATTAAGTCCCGCATATTTTAAGATTTTTAAAATAAATTACGAATAAATATTAAACAAAGATTACTCTAAAAAGTAAGTAAATAATATTAAGAACACAATAAGAAATTTCTGAATAAACATAAGATAGTTTAGTGTAAGGATTCTATAATAAAAATATCATAATATATATATATATATATTTAAAGAATAAATAATGTTGACGCGACTTTTTTTCTAACCCTAATTTCTCTTTGCCTTCTCTCTATCTAAGAGGCGGCGCCGCCATCTTCTGGAGCTTTTTGTTTCGTTAGATTTCCTTTGTTGTTCTTGTTTGTTGTGTCGCTTAGCTCTCTTTGGATGAAAATGTTTTTAAAACCGGATCGGATGTCGAACCGGAAAGATCTTCAGATCATGGGTCAATATGATTCAACCAAGTTTTTAATATAAATTTTATTATATATAAATATATATATATATATGTGGCAATTAGTATTTAAGTGTATATTAACAATTAATGTGATTTGCTTATTTTTCAATAAAAATGAATCAAAGAAATTACATGTCATAAACTATATCCTTTTTCCTTTCCAAACAGCGCCACCTACCTCTTCGTCTCCTTCCTTACTCCTTTTTCTTTCTTCAAGTTTCTGTAAAATTGTTCTTCTAATTTTTTATTTTTTTTTACATCTTTAGTTTATTGTTTTTTTTCTTAATATCATATGAAAACTGACAAGAGAAAATCAACACTAGTAAATATTCAAGTTTAATACCTCTTCTTCTCCTTCCTTACTCCTTTCTCTTTCTTCAAGTTTCTGTAAAATTGTTCTTCTAATTTTATTTTTTCTTACATCTTTAGTTTATTATTTTCTTTCTTAATCATATATATGAATAGGGTCAGCCCTCTCCATATGATTGACATGTGGATGCTCAATAAATTGACACATGTCAAAGAATTTGAAGAGAAAAGTCTCTTCACATTCTTGGTCGTTGCAGTCATTAACACGTAAGTTTTTCAAAACCGTCAGTTGTTTCACCTTCCACGTTGCATTAACACTGCATTAACACTCCATTGATTAACATGTGGCATGACCTTTCCTCTTTCTTTCAATTCATAATTGTAATTCTTATTTATTTGCTAAACATTTCAACTTCTCATAATAAAACTACTCTATTACTCCAAGGCTATTACCCTTCGGTTTCCGTCGTTAGTCATTATTAAACATTTAAATTCTTTTAATATACAGACACGGATCCAATAAAGAGCGATGGCGGAAAATCATAGTGGCGGGAATAAACAAAGAGAGTTGAGAGCACATAGACGTATGGTACGATAGAAAAATATATATTTGAAAACCAGTCGTTAACCAAACAAATTGGAATTAAAATACGGATATTATTTGGATTACAATGCAGATATTATTTGGATCAAATAAAGAGCGATGGTGGGAAATCAGAGTGGCGAGAAATAAACAAAGAGAGTTGAGAGCACATAGACATGTGGTACGATAGAAAATATATATATTTGAAAGCCAGTCGTTAACCAAACAAATTGGAATTAAAATGCGGATATTATTTAGATTAGAGTTTATAATATTAGTCGCAAATCTAAAATTGTTTTTGAACATTTTTAAAAAATTATAACAATAGCAAAACCCGCGCGTATGCGCGGACATTAGTCTAGTATCATATGAAAACTGACAAGAGAAAATCAACACTAGTAAATACTATAATTATGAAAAACACATAGTTTTGATTTACATGAATACGAGGGGTGTGATGAAGCTTGGAATGGACAAAAATGGAGTGGAGTATAACAAAACCGGGTTAACTGATTACTCAAACCGGCCAGTTTCCAAGTTTTTGCCGGTTTTTATGGGTCAATTATAATTACGGTTTTCCCTTAAAACCAAACCGGGATAGACACCGGTTCCCGGTTAAACCGGTCGGACTGGCCGGTCCAGTCCGATTTTTTAATCCATGTATGAAACTGAATCTGCTGCTCCGAAAGTTTATTCTTCCAGATCTGGTCATATATAAGTGATCTTAAAGCTAGTGGATCCAGGTCTATAGTAAGTATCTTCAATGTGGCTTGGCTGTAATCTCCACGAGGTTTCTTTTTCGCCCAAGATATGTGTTCCAGATCTGGTTTTCCACCTGCTTCAACTATTGCTCCACCATCCTTGCTTCGTATAGCTTCTGAGGAGATCACTCTGGTTTGGTTGGTTCCTCTTTGGTTCGATTTAACTTTTTCTCTTTCTCTGGAGATATGGGATATCCGTTTTGGTTCGTTTGTTCCCTGCCGCTTCCTTTCCATCTGATCGAGAGCTCATAAGGCCATTGGCGCTTTTATCGAGGCGTATCATCATTGTTTTCGTCGCATCTAGAAGATCAAGTATGTTGGCCGGGTAATGAAAGCTAGTCTTATGAGTTGGAAGGTTGTTTATTTGTGTTTGCAGGGAGATCTATATTACTGTAGATTGGCGTGGTGGGCCAAGATTAATTGTGAAGGGTTTCTAGAAGTTGTGAAACTTCTTGATGAGTGAATTAATTTAAGTTGGTGTTGTTCTTTACCTTTGTTTAAACTGAGTATATTTGATTCGTTTATTCTTTAGTTACTTTGCGTTTAAATTTGCCTTGTAGTTTGGCCTTTGACTTTCCTGTGTGGGCATTATTTATGGGAAATTTTTGATTTATGTTAGCTTAGTATTCTAACAATATATCTCGAAAATGTACATCAACTCAATTTCACCGACCTCGTTCCCCGAACCGTTGTAGGAATTTAGGCTGTTGACAAAAAAAAAAAAAAATCTCGAAAATGTATTCCACATTAATTTCAATAAACTCTAAATAAAATAAAATAATAGAATATTGATAAATTGTTAATCATCATTATAACTTTGAAGCCGAAACTTTTCAAAAAGGAATTAGGCAGTAAATTTACATGATACTTTTTTATCTTTGTTCTTTTTGTTGTTCTTATAATAGATCAATGGCTATAAAGTGGTGCAATCAATATGATATTACGGGTGATTTTCTCGTAAATATTCGGAATGGGCCTGTTTTTAGCGTAAACAAGAAAACAAAATTAACCTCCTATATGGCTATATTTACTTCCTAAGACCAAAATAGTATGACACGTTTTCCAAAAACCAATCCATGTCTTTACCAAAAAATAAGAAAACAAAATTAACCTCCTATATGGCTATATTTACTTCCTAAGACCAAAATAGTATGACAAATTTTCCAAAAACCAATCCATGTCTTTACCAAAAAAAAGAAAACAAAATAACCTCCTAAAAATTAGTGACTTCTAAATTTGGCTAAAATATTTTTTACTATATAAATAATCTAGAAAACTCTAACATTCTCACCAAATTTTCTTGTTCCCGATCTCAACAGTTTTTTTTTGTGTTGCTTATTTTCACTTTCTTACGTTATGGCATCTCAAATGTCGAAAAACATTTGTAATGTCTTGGTCATTGTACTTTTATTTACAAGATGTTTTCAGCACATGTCTCTCATTCCTACGTGATAGATGTGTGTGTAAAAGATTGTGTCATGAATCAATGCATGAAAGCATCAAAAAAAGCAACACCAGCCATATGTAAAGACCCCTGCAAGAAAATTTGCGATCCACTAAGGAATTCAAAATACATCGTTCCAGCTCGAGGTGGTAACGATCCCGTAAAAAGGTTTTGCAGAACTTTTAGTTGGATATGTTCGTAATTGGGAGAGTACATGTGTAAAAGTTTTTATTTTAATGAAGATAGTTATATTTTCTATCATTTTTGATTGATTTTATACTCGTGTTATTATTTTAATAAGAAAATATATGTAATTGTGTGAAGTCCGATAACCTCATTTGAAAACTCTTAAAAGATGTTCATGTCAACAACACATTCAGTCATTCACATATAGATGATTGCAAATTTGTAAACAAACCGCAAAGATTAAAAAATCTTGAGAGTCCATTATGTTGGCAAATCCATATACGAAAACGACACCCTTGTGGTTTCAAGTGAGAAACTAATCCAACTCTCGATATTTACTTTTAATAAAAATGGTTAAAATATTATAAATGTTATGACGTTTTGAGTCAACGTTTGTAGTTAAGGACAAATACATAGTTCATTTTAGCAGTGACTTCCGATTTGCAGGTTTGACTTGCATATTTTTTAAGTTGAGGGTTAGATTTGCACACAAAAAATAGTTCGCGGTTTTTTTGCATAAAATCATTTTAAATTTTGTCACAAATATAGAGATGTCTTATATTGCGGGGTTATTTTGACTTCATATGTTTGATTTGCACAACTTTAAATTGAGGGTTTGATTTGCAAAAAGAATTTAGTTTGAGGGTTGTTTTGCACAAAACCCGTTCGCGGAGACCAACCATGGCTACGAAAACCATGAGCTTTAAAGCGGCGTTTTGGTAGCTGAAAACGTCAAGGAGTTTGATGATAGGCCAGAGAAACAGCAAGATGGTGAAACGAATCAGACCAGAGGCAACAAAGGCCAAGAGCATGAAGTAAGAGAACGAATCCTTGTTTTTCAGTAATGCTCCTTCAAACTCCGACACCACCGAGTAAGGAGTCGTTCTTGATGTCTCCATCACTATTTATTTTTATATCTTGAGAGTTCTTTTGTGTTTTGGTTTGTTCAAGATCAATATGGATCAAGAGTAAATGTTAACTAATTATATAGAAGGTTTGGAATCTTTGGATGAAGTTTTCTGTATTATATATATAGTTTTTTTTTTTTTTGGTAAAAATGTGAAAGCTGTATTATATAATTGCTTAGTTGTACAACTATATAATATAAGTTTCTGTATTATATAGTTGCTTAGTTGTAAAACTACTTAAAACAAGCGTAAGACGATATAATTCTTTTTTTTTATGTCAATAAGTTAATATAAATATACACAGTATGTTTGTACATAGAGTCAAGCAAATGCTGTACTCTGTATATGTATACAGTTCACGTCACTGTTATAGTTTATGAGATCGTACAACGTAAGAACCGCAATATTCAAGTTGTGACTTATATAATTAACGAGTCAAAGTTTTGATGGATTATATTTATATATACAAACATCAGAAATCAGAATTCAGACGAGATATATATATACACATTATGTATATATTTTTTTTTTGTTAAAATACATTATGTATATATTGATACAGTCTGTATATAGGTTCCGAATGGAGAAAGCGGATCAAGCGTTGCGGATCGAGCGGATCAAGTGGATCGAGCGGAACTAATGCGGTTCTAGCGGATCAAGCGGTACAAGTGCGGATCTAGCAAACCAGAGGTCCAAAAAATGTTTGAATGGAAAAAGCGGATAAAAAGCGTTCCAAATTTATATATATATATATATGCATGTATTATGGTTTATATGAGATTAAAATGAATATTTGATTTTGTATGATTGAAATTTATTTAATTTTAATTAATTATAAATTTAAAGTATAAAAGTAAATAATAGAAATATATATATAAATAGGTTTTTAACAATTTCTCAATATTACAACTGGCCAATAAAATATACATGCAGTGAAAAATATAAATGAATGTTGAAAAAAATAGAGCAGTTCACATTTTAAATAGTAAAAACTATAAAAACTGCAATTTTATGTATATTAATTTATCTACTAATATACATTTTATCATAAATTATATAAAACTTATAATTATTATATTATGTTTAAATTATTCAAACATGTAAATTTAGTTTAGTGTAAAATTATTGATTAAGTATTTTATTATTATTGTTAATGTTTATGCTGAAAAATAATCACTGAATAGAATAATTAATAGAATAATTTAAATGTATATAAATAATATATTTGAATTATAATATATATTGGATTATTACATAAATCAGTATACAGTATAAGTGGATCAGGTTGAAACACTCCTAGATTGAAGTGTTACGTACGTACCGCTTGCGTTCCTTAAACACAGAGTAAACAATAAAACTTTTTTAAAAAACAAGGTCTGACCATTTTACTGTTCATTTAGTTATAAATATTTCATTTTTTGGTGAATGGGAAAATAAGTTGTGGAAAAAACACAAGGTGTATGCTCCATCAATGTTCCACTTTTTATCCGTTCACCATTCATAGCCATAGACAGTGTACGCAAGTTGCAGTGTGATTTACAAGTTCTTACAACAAACAAATGAAAAACAAAATAACGTTATTTGCTTTCAAAGTTTCTTAACGACTTTGTAAACTCGTTTTGATATTAATGAATTTGTTTTGCCGTAGAAAACCATGATTGCAAATACCAAATGTATAGTAAATCTTAAAAGTTCATTTTTAGGCAAATTGAGGCTGCTGACCAACAAGAAAAAATTATACGGATTGCTTTGCTCTAATATTGAGTGTGTAATTATATAAAACTTAACACGTTACATTTTTGCTCAGTTTTCGGAACTCTGAGTTTGAAAACACAAGAGAAAAAGTTATTATTCTTCTCTAATCAATATGTTTATTCTTCTTCCCAAATCTACTACTCAGTAATCATACTTTTTAATGGCGGCTTAATAAACTTTAACAACACACAATTCTACAGAAATTTATTCAGTAGCACCTTCTTCTTCTGGTTTCATACTTAAACATACACATACACAAATACATAGATATAGATATTTCATATCACATCTGCATCTCCCTCTCCCTCTCCTCATCACAACCACTGTTTTTTTTTCCCTCCAAAACCTACAAACTTCAAAATCAAGATTCCAATGAAAATGTGTAGTTGAAATCAAGATTCCGATAAATCTTGAATCAAGAACAGCGCTTTGAAATTTACCAGATTCTCTCAAGTCTTGACTCTGCATAATTGGTTCCTCCTCTGCAACTCTCGATATTTTGCATCTGCTTTTGATCAAACCTCATCGAAAATGGCTGACGACAAGAGCCTCTGAACAAACTCTGATTTCTTCAGCTTCTCTTCTCGATCTTTCAACGAGACCGGTGAGATACAAACTTGTATCTTGCTGAAACAACAACAACAAAGTTCAATACTTTCTCCAAAAGATGAAACCTTTATAACCCTAACAGAGAAGAAGAAGGAAACTAAACTATACCGCTCTACATGTTTCTCCTCGGATACTTTTCTGGTTTGGCGTGTCACAGGAGGTGATGATCGTGTAGGCGATATAAACGACGATAGAAGCGGATCAGGGATTCCGTTCGATGCAGCAGAACTGCTATTACGAGAAGGAAGTCCTAACAGCCTCTGAAGATCTCCTTCTCTTAACTCTTTCCTAAGAAGAGAAAGCGTGGAAGAATTCGAACTGCTTTTACGCGACTTTCTCTTTCGCTGCATGTAAGAAAACTCGTCAAGGAACTCAAAAGCAATGTAGAGAACAAAAAGTAAGAAGATATCCAAATAATGTAGAAAAAGGATATCTTGAATAAACTTCCATGGTGAAGAGTTATGTGAGCTACAATATCAACTCCCACTCTTAAAGAGCAAACAGGGCAGACCTGCAATATTAGTGTATGTAAGACTCTATCACAATGCAGCAAAGTAGATAGATAGAGAGAGAGAGAGAGAGATGTATACAGCGTTCTTGGACTCTAGATTATGTTCATCGTCAATGTGACAGCACAAGCCGATGATATCATAGGATTCGGCACAGAACGGGCAAGCAAACTCCTCCTGGAAATCATCATCTCCATCTATTTCTTCAAAGCTCATTAAAACTTCTGCCATTTTCAAGGGGAGAGAGAAAATCATTTAGAGCATGGTATTGGTTCAAGAAACAGCATTTTCATATAGCCAAAGAAGAAGAATATGAAAGAAAAAACAAAACTAGACTGCAAGATGCAATAGTGTAACATCTAACTCAAATTCTAGACTTTAAGAGTGTATATCACCCAAAACCCAATACAGAACAAACCTAAAGGTAATATTTTTCTGCATCCTGAGGGAAATTTGTGAAGAATACTAAGAAAATTGGCAAAACCCTTCTCCGTAAATAGATAGGAAAACCGAATTTCACTGTAAAAATCTCATATTTGTTTCACTGAAGCAAAAAATCTATTACAGCTCCATAAACACATACAAAGTCCGAGACTTTACATTCCGTAGCTAAAAGTGGAGCTAGAATTAACTAGAAAGAGAGCTTTTTTCTTACATACGAATCTAAGTGTTCTCTCACTTTACATAACTAACAAAAACATTCGAAAAAACAAAAAGTCTTCAGACAAGGATAAAAATAACATTGAAACTGACGATATTTTTAGCAACCCAAAAGCATATTATCAAAATAAAAAGTTAGAAGCTATAATCAAGTTGATTTAGCAATTAAAGCACCAACATAATTCCATAGTAATCAAAGTTTCACACAATTTTATAGCTAAATAAGAAATCTTGAGAAGGGAATGAGTTTGTAAAAAGCTCACCAGATCGGGATCGAAGCGTAGACAAGAATCTCTTGGAATCAGAGTCCATTTTCTGGCTGAAACTTGCGAATCTTGCAAGAAAAAGAGAAAATTTTTAGCCACAAATCCCGATAACGGTAACGGATCGGAGCCTAAATAGAACGGAGACGAACGATTTTCTGGGTAGGAGGAGAGAGGAAGAGAAAGTGCGATGCGAGAAAGGATTGATTTTTATTACATTTTTCAGGAGATGATGGACCGGTTAGGTCCGAATTCCGAATCCCGGTTATTAGTCCCGGTTAGTTATTTTCGTCCGGTTATTAGTCCCGGTTAGTTAATTTCGTCCGGTTATTAGTTATGGTTCGACATTTATTTCGGTTTTTAATCCCGGATTGTTGATTTTTCCCGGTTATCAGTTCTGGTTCGACATTCCGGTTTTAGTCCCGGTTCGGTCGTTTTCTCTGATATATTTTTCTTCTGATTTAGATTTCTCCATTTTTTTTTTCTTTTCTTCTCCATCCAGCCCTAAAATCAGCGAAGCTTCACCCCGGCGAAATTGCCGTCGTCTTCTTCTGGTATGTTTTCTGAGTTAGTTCTTCAATTGGGGTTTTTAGCTAGATTAAGCTTCTCTGTCCAATTAATCTTCTTCTGCTCTCTTAAACTCTTGGATTTGATTTGAATCCAACTTCACAAAAGACATTGGTTTTGCTAAGAAATACAGAAGAGAAAATTGAGTAATTGAAATTTGGTTATACAAATCTGTGTTGTTGATTCTCTTGAATGTATAAAGTAGAAAGCTTTATCTAGCGAAATCGATGATTTGTCAACGAAAGTAATCGATCACTTGTTATTTGCGAGCATCTACTTTCTTCGCGTCTCTCGCTGCCTTTTCCTCTTCTCGCTTCTTTGCGGCTTCCTCTCTCTCGTTTCTCACCTAATTGTGACTGCTATGTTTCTTTATCTGTGTAGTCTTGAAGTTTGATTCACTCTGCCGTTGAAGTCTGTTGTTGATTCTTCATCAAGAAGAAGTCTCTGCGACCTTCCACATATATTGGTAACATGTTTTCTGGGATAAAGATCATACCTCGTGATGAGGTAAAGCTACTTGTTTCACTTCATTCTGAAATTTTTTGAATGTGTTAAAGTCTGGCTTGAGTTTTGATGTTACTATCTTTCTTATTAGGTGCGTGATGATAGCTCAGAGGAAGAAAAATCAAAATCTAAAAGTGGGAAAGATAGAAGAAGAAAGAACAAGGACGTTGATAGAAACGAAAGTAAGAGAGATGGGAAGAAGATTGTCAAGGGTGAAGAAGGGGGCATTGTTAGGAAGAGCATGGGTCTTGATTGGATGCTGCCGCCAATAAGAAAGGCTGATCCAAACCCGGCCATAGACGTAGAGGAAAAGTTTGAGGAAACAACAGTTGAAGATGTGGCCAAAGTGAACCCAAAGGAGCTAAACCCTCATTTCAAAGGCAATGGAACCGGTTTTCCAGAAGAAGAGCCTGAGAAGAGACATGGCAGAGACCAGCTTTTACCAACTTCTGTTGTTGGAGATGGAGGTGCGAGTTGGAGAATGAAGTTACTCAAGCGTGCAAAGGAACACGCTGCAAGAAACGGGCAAAGTCTTGAGGAGGTCTGTGTATGATGATTTAGCAGAGTCTCTTTGGCTTATATTTGTGAGTTTTTGGCTTATCATTTTGAGGTTTTTTTATGCAGGTTGTTGGAGAACGATATGGTTCTCTTGGTGATCTTGTTGAGTCCGTGTCATCTCAACGAGCAGCTCCATCTCGTGCACATTTGCATGCCATTAACAATAGAAGAAGAGTGCACACTGAAGAAGAGAACGATAAAGAGAAGAAGCCAGAACGAGGTTCTGAGAAGGGTAATGGTAGGGACTATTTGAAGGACGATTCGCCGCGTCACCGTGTATTGAGAGCTCCCAAAACCGACCCTTCATTATCCTGGGGAAAGAGAAAGGGACAGACTCATAGACAAGAAGACTCGAAGCTGATATCCGAAGCTGCATCTCACTTGAATAAGTTCTCAAACGATGGAAACTTCATGAAGGAAATGCTTTCTAAGCAGAGGAATGAATCAGTTTCTTCTCCCATAGAGACTCGTGAAGAACGAAGAAGCGATGTGGAGCGGACAACATTACCGTCTTCAGAGACCAATAAGGATAGTGAATGGACTCTTCCTGGTATTGAATCTATGAGTGTGAATCAACTGGCTGCTAAAGCCTTACAGCTCCGTATGAAAGGGAAACTTGAAGAAGCTCAGAAACTAACGGTGAGACATTATCTTCTTTGTTCTATATATTTTGCTCTGTGGCTGAGTCGTTTTCCTAATGAGTTCTCTTGATTTTCACAGGAAGAAGCAGAGAGGCTAAGAGCAAAGCAAGCAGTTGGAGACGATTCATCCAAAGAACACAGAACAAGAACTGCATCGAGGTAAGCTGTTTACTTTGCTTTCTTAGCTGTTTATGGCTTCTATGTCGAATCGTTCTGATTCTTTGTTCTTGCTCATTAGGTATGATGTCAAAGAAATGTCAAGTAGAAGGAAGAGTGAAGATGACGACACGGATATGCATCTAGCCAAGAGCATAATGCATAACAAACTGTACAAAACAGCAAACCAAGCTGCTGATGATGAGTATGAATACGGAGAAGCTCCAAGCAAGAAGTCCAAGAAGAAGCGTGAAACGTCGTCGTCCGTTCCTGATAACAACCGAGTGAAACGCATCTTGACGCAGCAAGAACGGTGCCTCTTCTGTTTCGAGAACCCTAAACGGCCTAAGCACTTGGTTGTGTCGATCGCAAACTTCACTTACCTGATGTTACCACAGCATCAGCCTCTAGTCCCAGGCCACTGCTGTATCTTGCCGATGCAGCATGAAGCGTCTAGCAGAAGCGTCGACGACAATGTCTGGGACGAGATCCGGAACTTCAAGAAGTGTCTCATCATGATGTTTGCGAAAGAAGGGAAAGACGCAGTGTTTCTTGAGACGGTGATCGGTTTGGCTCAGCAGCGTCGTCACTGTTTGATCGAGTGCGTGCCGATTCCGAAGGAGATTGCTAAAGAAGGTCCTCTCTACTTCAAGAAAGCTATTGATGAAGCCGAGAGCGAGTGGAGTCAGCACAACGCGAAGAAGCTCATTGACACTAGCGTCAAGGGTTTGAGGAACTCGATACCGAAGAACTTCCCTTACTTCCACGTTGAGTTTGGTCTGGAGAAAGGTTTTGCTCATGTGATTGATGATGAGCAACAGTTCAATAGCAATCTTGGATTGAATGTGATCAGAGGAATGCTTGAGTTGCCGGAAGAAGACATGTACAGACGGAGGAGGCAAGAGTCGGTGGAGAGCCAGAAGAAGGCTGTTGTGAGCTTTGCACGTGAATGGGAACACTTTGATTGGACGAAACAGCTCGATTAGAGAGTATGGTTTGTTTTGTAAACGCATAATCTAATGTTTTAGCTCTTTTCAACAGAAAGATTTTGTTGTTAAACAAATTGCGTTGATCCTCTCCTCTCTAAAGTCCTACGCATCACACACCACAAGTAAGGAATGATTTTATTCCTCAGATGCAATTTATTCAGATTACGGAGACAAATTTGCAGAAAACTTCGGTGTAGTGCAAATAGAAAAATTATCGAGAACTTGCGTGTTAAAAATACAGGTGCATATCAAATGAAAAAATTGTATGTGGATTCTTGTCATGTAAGCAAATTTCACAATCTTCAAAATTTGCAAATTAACGTTAATGATGTTATAACTGTACCACTATATTTGATACAGTGGAAAGTGGATGCTTTTATTTAATAAATAAAAGAAGAAAGTGTTATGGAGAGAGAGAGATAGTTAAAAGTTTCGTATGTTGAGAGAAAAGAGAGTGGTGCATGTGTTTCTTATTGTATTGAACTTGAGTTTATTACATGAGTTACACATATATTTATAGAGGAGAAGAGGCGATAGTACGTCGGTAAACGGAGGAGGTGGTGAAGAGATAATATTAAAGTATTAGAAGAGGATAATTATCCTTTTCAACACTCCTCTTAATTATTATATACGGTCTCGTTAAAAAACTTATATCATAGAAAAATCTAATGGGATAAAAAAACGATAACTTAGGAAAAAGAATATTGTAGCATAATCTCCCCCTGGAAAAGATATATAATCTTTTTTTTTCACAAGTCTTGTAGACAATGCATTTAAATGCTATGAACATGCTTCTTGAATATTGTAGTAGGAAGCGCCTTTGTAAAGAGATCGGCTGCAATGTCACTTGAACGAATATTCTCGATATTCACTTCTTGATTTTTCTAGAATTCTTAAGAGAAAAAATCTTGAAGGAATATGCTCGTTCTATCACTCTTGATATAACCTTCTTTGAGCTATGTGACACATGCAAAAATGTCTTCAAATACTTTTGTTGGCTCTCTCTCTCTATGACTATTCCACTTAATTCTTGTATGTGATGAGTCATAGATCGGAGCCACACACACTCTCTGCATGCTTCATGGAGAGCAATAGTTTCTGCATAATTTGAAGACGTTGCAACCAAAGTTTACTTTTTGCGAACGCCAGGAGACCGCGATTCCACCAATTGTAAAAACATATCATGTTTGTGATGTGGAGATCTGATAGATATCATTCATCAGCAAAACCAACTAAAACATATTTTGAGTTTTTAGGATAAAATAATCCTAAATCTATTGATCCTTAAAGATATCTCATTCCAATGTATGCGCGTACGGGACGAACTATATTTTGCAAGCAAATTAGTAACGAAAACTATATTTGGTCTAGTGCAATTTGCAAGATACATTAGTCCACCAATAGTGCTCATGTAAGGTACTTCAGGACCTAACATACTTCCTCGTTACCTCACAAGGATGAAATGGATCATTTTCCACATCAAGGGATCTATTAACCATTGGAGTACTCAAAGGAGTCTCTTTATCCATATAAAAGCGTTTTAACACTCTTTTAGTGTAATTTGACTGATGCACAAATATTCCATTTGGAAATGCTCTATCTAGATCCAAGACAAAACTTTGTCTTTCTAAGATCTTTCATTTCAAACTCTTCTTTCATATGAGTTCTTGCATCATCAATCTCCTTTTGAGTTCCAATCATGTTCAGGTCATCTACATATACAGTAATAATCACAAATCCTGAAGAAGATTTCTTAATAAACACGCAAGGGCATATCGCATTGTTGACGTAATCTTTAGTCAAACAAATATTCACTTAAGCGACTATACCACATGCGTCCAGACTGTTTTAGTCCATAAAGTGATCACTATAATCTGACCGAACAGATCTCCTTAGCCTTTGATTTCAAATTCTCAGGCATTTTTAATCCTTATGGGATTTTCATATATATATTTTATTATCAAGAGATCCATATAGATATGCTGTCACAACATCTATAAGATACATTTCAAGATTTTGAGACGCTACTAAACTCATCAAAAATCTGAATGTTATGGCATTGGGAATATGTTTTTTCATTATCAATTCCCGGTCTTTGAGAAAAACCTTGAGGCACAAGTCAGGCTTTATATCTTGTGACCTCATTTTTCTCATTTCTTTTTTCTTACAAAAACCCATTTGTGCCCGACGGGTTTTATATTCTGAGGTATTGTGACAATAGGTTCAAAAAAACTTCTTTTATTGAGAGATAGTAATTCAGCTTGGATGGCCATTTTCCATTTCTCCCAATCATGTCTTTTCAGATATTTTGATATTGTTTCTGGATCGTGATATCACTTTCATGTCAATTTCTTTATATACAGAAAAAAAAGAGAATATTTCATCATCATCTTCTATTTCATTTCTTGTCCATACTTTTCTATTTTGGGCGAAGTTATGGAGATCTCAAATTTTTCTGTATCATGTTCGTCTTTTGGACAAATCTCTTTTTCTGGTTCTTCAAAAACCATTTTGTTTATGTTTACCGGACATAATTCTTTACAAGGTTCTTCTTGAACCTTTTCTCCCAAATTCTTTTTCTATCGGGGATTTTTATCTTTAGAGCCTATTGACCTCCTCTGTTTAATTGGATTTTGGGTGCATTTGCTATACTTCCATCATTTTGTTCTTTAAGAACATCTACAGTAGAAACTCAATAAATTAATAATGTCGGACATAAGATATTTTATTAATTTAATAAAATATTAATTTATCGAGAGATTATTGATCAAAAACTTAATTTGGGATCATGTAATTTTATTGATTTATCGAGTTATTAATTTATCGAGTATTAATTTATAGAGTTTCTATTGTATTCTTGATGGAACGTTTGCAGCGGGTATATATGATTTAGTCACTCTTTTTGTATATGTGAACGCATCTGGTAATTGATTTGCCATATTTTGTAAATGTATAACTTTCTGAACTTCCAAATCGCGTTGTTTTGTCGGGGGATCAAAGTGTAACAAATTCGGTGTACACCATGTGAGGCTTTTGGAACCTCTTTAATTCCTCCCCCTAACGCTGGAAATTCATCTTCATTAAAATAGCAATCGGCAAAACGTGCCGTAAACATATCACCAGTTTGAGGTTCAAGATACCCAATAATACTTGGTGATGTATACCCAACATATATTCCCAATCTCCTTTGTGACCCCATTTTTGTTCTTTGTGACGGTGCTATCAGAACATAAACCGCACAACCAAAAACACGGAGATGGGATACGTTTGGCTCCTGACCAGATGCTAATTGCAATGGAAAATATATATTATATGCACTTGGTGAGAAGCGCTGCAGCATGCAAAATAGCATGACCCCATATTGAAATTGGGAGTTTTGTTCTTATTATTAATGGTCTTGCAATCAGTTACAACCGTTTGATCAAAGACTCAGCCATGCCATTTTGTGTATGGACATGTGGAACTGGATGCTCAACATCGATTCCCAATGGCATGCAATAGTCATTAAAAGCTTGTAAAGTGAATTCACCAGCGTTATCTAATCTCACTTTCTTAATAGTATAATTAGGGAATTGTGCTCTCAACCTGATTATTTGGGCAATGAATCTTGCGAAAGCCGTATTTCGTGTTGCAAAAGACACACATGTGACCATCTACTGAATGCGTCAATTAATACCATAAAGTATTGAAACGGTCTGCATGGTGGGTGAATAGACCCACATATATCACCATGTATTCTCTCTAAGAATACAGAGGATTCATTCCCAACTTTCGCTGGTGAAGGCCGAGTTATGAATTTTCCTTGAGAACATGCATTACATATAAACTCGCCCATTTCTAAAATTTTTCCGTATTTCAACGGATGGCCATTTGAGTTTTGCACAATTTTTCTCATCATGACTGAACCTGGATGCCCTAGCCTTTCATGCCAGATTTTGAATGTACTAGTAAACTTCGGGTTTACTGTAACATATGATTTAGTCAGAGTAACATTTGTGCAATATAATCCGGAGGACAACATTTTCAATTCTTCCAACATTTGTCCCTCCGATTTGATGCAAAGTGTAACATCCCGGTTTGTGATAAATGAGGAGAGGCTTAAGAGAATTGTTTTGGCTACCTATGTCAACAAAGTGCACTTACCTTTTCGGTCAAAGGTCTATAAGTAACTCCAGAGTTAAGCGTGCTTGGGCTGGAGTAGTTGAAGGATGGGTGACCTTTCGGGAAGTGGTTTCCGAAACTGTGTGAGTGAGGGCAAAACACGGGGAAAGGTCGGGTGTTGATTGCAATGATAGTAAACAAGTCATTAGAGTCTCTCAAAAATAACGGACCGACTGTCGGACAAGGGTGAGGCCCACGGGCCGAGATGGGCATGTGGGCCCAGAGAGAGGGCGTGGGTGACTCACCGGGAGGGGCGGTCCGGGCGTTATACAAAGGATTTCGATGCCATTCTTATTTATAGTCTCTATGTGATACCCATTTTTACGGATATCTTTGAAACTTAATAAGTTTCTGTAAGACTTCGGGGAATATAATGCATCATTTATTTCAAACTTTGTTCCCCTTGGCATTGAAAAACTGGCTCTTCCAGAGCCCAATATTATTTTTGCACCACCAGAAATGGTATTCACGCTTTCAACGGAATCTTTAATTTTGAGACCGGAGAAATATCTTTTATCTTTGAGTATTGTGTGCGTTGTAGCACTGTCTGCAAGACACATATCTCCATCACGAGTCTCAAATTTCGTCATTTCTGGATTTAACAAAGATGCATTAATAAGTATTAAACAATACAAAGCTTATATCACAAGATACAAAATAACACATTAAAAACTATTTTACAACAAAAAGATCAAGCTTTTAGGTTATCTTCTTCAGAAGACAACTATGTATATCATGTCCTTTTAGTCGTCTGTTTTTCCGTTGATCTCTTCAGAGTCAACCAGAAAATCTGAAACATCAAGATGAGTATCATCGTTTAGGCCATGAAAGGAGGAACCGGGTTCACTGGAGATGAAGTTAGTCTCACTTTCTTTCTCCTTTGCTTTTTGTGATTCCCGGTACAGATCGGCTAAGTGTCTGGGTGTACGACAAGTACGCTCCCAGTGATTTTTCATGCCGCATCTGTAGCAAACACTTTCTTTTTGCTTTTTAGAATCTCGGCCGTAATCATTTGCTCGAGATCTTTTATAATTCCTTTCATTGTTGGACTCGTCGGGACGGTACTCTTTTCCTTGTCCCCGACCACGTCCACGGCCACGGCCACGACCTCGGTTTCGACCGTATCCACGTCCACGTCCTCGTCCATTATTTTGGCTGGACGATGCTACATTCGCTTCTGGGAATGGAGCAGCTCCAGTGGGACGAGTCTGATGGTTCATCATCACAAGCTCGTTATTCTGTTCTGCAACAAGGAGAACTTCCATCAATTTTGAATAACGAGTATAGCCATTTGCCCGATATTGTTGTTGCAGGACTATATTTCCAGGGTGAAATGTGGAGAGCGTTTTTTCAATCATATCATAATCGCTCACATTTTCTCCACATAGCACCATTTGGAAATTATTCTGAACATAGCAGAATTATATTCAACAACACTTTTATAGTCCTGAAACCGGAGGTAGCCACTGGTATTTGGCTTTGGGCAAATCTATATATTTTTGATGGTCAAATCTTTCTTTCAAAGATTGCCAAAGATCCGCAGGATCTTCTTTAGTGATGTATTCATCTTTTAAACCATCGTGGATGTGATGAAGTAAAAGATCATGGCTTTCGCCTTTTTCTCATCGGATGTCTCTTTCGACTTGTCAATGGCATCAAGAAGCCCATTTCCTTTTAGATGCATTTTTGCACCTATTGCCCATGTCATATAATTGTTTCCAGAAATATCAAGGGCGGAAATTTCGAGCTTGCCAAATTTGACATGATATCTGCATAGATCATATATCAGTTCATTAAATATAAATTCAATTAAATTCAATTCAAATTTGCGTAATAAAAATTTGAGCATTATAACAGCATAAATTTAGCAGAAATTTAGATGGAAAGAAAGTAAATAGCGAAAAAGTAAATTACAGAAAAGTAAATATTGAGGAAGCCTCTACTCCAAGAGGAGGTTTTCACCATCAACTCTTATATGATCTAAGGTGACATAGTCTACCATATGATCATTTGCTCGGAGTAGGTACAACCTAGCATCCCGGCTTAAGAAATATTTTCGATTGTGGAGACAAAGCCTACCATAACAATCGGCTCGGAGAAGGCATAGCCTACCATCCCGGCATAGCATATAAACAATAAAAAATAGACAGAATATAAGATAACATGTTATAAATAAACTAACTGTAAATATAGTGAAGTGATTTATTAAATAAAAGAAGAAAGTGTTATGGAGTTAGAGAGAGAAAGTTACGATGTGAGAGGGAGATAATGGTGAGAAAGGTTTCGAGAGAAGAGAGAGTAGTAAATGTGTTTCTTATTGCATTGAACTTGAGTTATGAATATTACATGAGTTATTACACCTCCATTTATAGAGGAGAAGAGGTGATAGTAAGTCGGTAAAAGGAGAAGGTGGTGAAGAGATAATATTTATTAGAAAAGGATAATTATCCTTTTCAACAAATTAATAATTTTGGGATCTAAATGATTGTTAGGGGTAGAATGAGCATATTCTATTTGATGTCGTCTCTAATTATAACAACTAGGGATCAAAACCCCGCGCAAGCGCGGATTTGTTTGCCATAATTTTTCTGTTTGATTTTATTTATATTTATAATTTGAAATTTTGAATTATGATAGTTATATGTTAATTTCCATGTTTTGGTTATATTTTGAGTTCACCCAACAATTAACATTAACAATATGTTCAACTTTTTTATTAAGATATAATATCTTACTTCATCTCGAGTTTTTTATTTCTAAAATTTAATATGCTTTATAATTTGAAATTTTGAATTATGATAGTTATATGTTAATTTCCATGTTTTGGTTATATTTTGAGTTCACCCAACAATTAACATTAACAATATAATCAATTTTTTTTTAAGATATAACATCTTACTTCATCTCGAGTTTTTTATTTCTAAAATTTAATATGCATTTGACTCAACGTTAAAATTTGTAAACATGGTGTAGAATCGCAATTGCACTCAAAATATGATGAAAACAAAAACATGTATAAGTTCTTACATATATGTTTTGTTGTGGTAGCATATGACAATTGATTATTTTCTATTATGTTAGTTTTGTAAATATAAATTGTATTTTTGAAACAAACATGTCACCATTCTTAAAATTTTCATGCTTTTCGTTGCAATGAAATTTAAATAATAACTCGACTTCTATTTTTTAATAAAACAAACTTTAACTCTATTTTTATTAGCTTTTTACTATGTTAAATAATTTATATTGTACCTTTTTACTTGTAAGCACATTATAATATTTTTAAATAGGATAAATTATTTGAGTTAAAACCTAACTATATACTATTTCAAGTTAAATATTTCTTTATTTCATCTCTATTTTATATTACAACTTTATTTTAACTTTTAACATCAAGATATCACATACTTTATATTAATCAATTAAATTATTTGTGTATTTTTCTTAGTTTTGTTTGTGTAAAATAAGAATATATAAAAAAGTATTAATACACATATATTAAATATCTTAAATATAATTAATTATTTTTTTGCTGATGTGGATAGCTTAGGAGGAGAGAGCAACTCTCCTATTATATATAAGATATATTGAATCGAGCCCACTATCAATTAAACCTTATTGAGACACATGAAATATTTTGAGATAAAAATAAATCTCCAAACAAAAGGAATGAGATAAACACAAAAAACTTCCAAAATTTATTAAAAACAGATAAGAACAAAGAGAAGATTTTCTAAGTAAATAAAAAAGAAAATTGACTTAAACCTTCTTGAGAAACATGAAATATTTCGAGATAAAAATAAATCTCCTAACAAAAAGCAATAAGATAAACGAAAAAAAACTTTCAGAATTTATAAAAAAAAAGTAGATAAGAATAAAGAGAAGATTTCCTAAATAAATAAAAAACAAAGACGAAAAAATCGACTTCTTCCCTTTATGAATAGAAGGCTCCTTGTATATTCAGAATCGTTCTCAAATATCCATAAATCGTCAAGACCACAAGAACGGAACCTAAAACTCTAAAAACTTGTGTTCTTAGTTTTTATTTGATTCAGTTTCACAAATTCGACAATGATTGTCGTGGAACTAAATATCTTCTTGTAATCCCTTTATCTTTGAGCATATTAATAAAAATTCATTTTCATAAACCCAAAAACTTTATATCTCAAATACTTTTTGTGATATACTGGTTCAACCACTGATGCCGTCTATGAAGATAAATACAATTGAGTTTGATGTTCACAGTCGACGCCAATTGTTTAAGGAAATATATTTTTATTAATACACTCAAAGATAAAGTAATTATAATCGACGACAATATTTGCCTAACTGAATCTAAAGAAAACTAAGAACAAATAATAAAAAGCTTTATATGTTATAAAATAATAATATAAAGAAATATTTTGTTTAAAAAGGAGAGATAGAGGTGGCTACGAGTGAGAGATAGATAGGAGGAAAGAAGAGAATTTCTTTGTATTTAGTTATTGTGTGTCATAAACATATCATGGCACTCCCTATTTATACTAACAACAAAGTCGGTTGTTCAACTCTTAATCTATAAGTAATCAATAAAATATATCAGAATGGATAAGTATTATCTATTATAATACTTCCTCTTGATTATCCATTATTAATAGAGTTGTGTGCTCATTAAAACCTTATTATGGAAAAAATCAATGGGATAAAAACCATAAAAGGAAAAAGAGTACCGCGAAGCAAACTCCCCCTGAAAATAGATAGTCTTCTCTTCACAAATCTTGTAAACGACGCATTCCAATACTCTGAACATGCTTCTTGAACACTGTAGTAGGAAGCGCCTTTGTGAAAAGATCAGCTGCATTGTCACTTGAGCGAACATACTGAATATCCACTTCTTGATTCTTCTCAAGTTCTTGAGTGTAAGAGAAAAATCTTGGAGGGATGTGTTTTGTCCTGTCGCTCTTGATGTAGCCTTCTTTGAGTTGAGTGACACATGCAGAATTGTCTTCGTAGATTGTTGTTGGCTCTTTCTTTGTAGATACTCCGCTGGCTTCTTGTATATGTTGGATCAAAGATCTCAACCATACACACTCTCTACAGCTTCATGGAGAGCAATGATTTCTGCATAATTTGAAGACGTTGCAACCAAAGTTTGTTTTTGGGAACGCCAAGAGATCGCGGTTCCACCGTATGTGAAAACATAACCGGTTTGCGATCGAGCTTTATGCGGATCAGACAAGTAGCCAGCATCTGCAAAACCAACTAAACCAACCTCGGGGTTTCTTGAATAATATAATCCAAACTCAATCGTACCTTGAAGATAACGGAATATATGTTTTATTCCGTTCCAATGTCTTCTGGTAGGCGATGAGCTGTATCTTGCAAGCAGATTAGTAGCAAAAGCTATATCTGGTCTTGTGCAATTTGCAAGATACATAAGTGCCCCGATGGCGCTCATGTAAGGTACTTCAGGACCTAACATTTCTTCAGAATCTTCAATAGGTCGAAATGGATCCTTGTTAACATCAAGCGATCTATTGACCATTGGACTACTCAAAGGAGTCGCTTTATCCATATAAAAGCGCTTTAACACCCTTTTGGTGTAATTTGATTGATGCAAAAATATTCCATCTTGGAAATGCTCTATCTGGAGCCCAAGACAAAACTTTGTCTTTCCAAGATCTTTCATTTCGAACTCATCTTTCATATGAGTTCTTGCATCATCAATCTCCTTTTGAGTTCCAATCATGTTCAGGTCATCAACATACACAAGCAATGATCACAAAACCCGTTAAGGATTTCTTTATGAACACGCATGGACAAATCGCATTGTTGACGTAACCTTTACTCAACAAGTATTCACTTAAGCGATTGTACCACATGCGGCCGGATTGTTTTAATCCATAAAGTGATCGCTGGAGTTTGACCGAACAAAGCTCTTTAGATGCTTCAGGCATCTTTGACCCTTCTGGGATCTTAAATCCCTCAGGAATTTTCATATATATCTCACTATCAAGTGAGCCATATAGGTATGCAGTCACAACATCCATCAGGTACATCTCTAAATTATTAGAGCCGTTAGGCTCATCAAGTACCTGAAGGTGATTGCATCCATTACCGGGGAATATGTTTCTTCATAATCTATCCCCGGTCTTTGAGAAAAACCTTGAGCCACAAGACGAGCTTTATATCTTGTGACTTCGTTTTTCTCATTTCTTTTTCTTACAAAAACCCATTTGTATCCAACCGGCATTACATCTTTTGGTGTAATGATTATCGGTCCGAATACAGTCCGTTTATTGAGAGAGAATATTTCATTCTTCATGGCCATTTGCCATTTCTCCCAGTCCGGCCTCTTTTGGCACTCTGACACGGAAGTTGGATCTGGATCATCATTTTCATGATCGATCTCTTTAGCTACAGAAAAAGAGAACATTTCATCATCATCTATTTCACTTCTAGCCCATATTTTTCCACTTTGGGCGAAGGAGATGGAAATCTCAAATTTTTCTGTCTCTGGTTCGTCATCTTGACGAACCTCTTTATCAGGTTCTACAAGAACCTGTTCGGAAATGTCTTCAAGACATTTCGGTTCATCAGGAACCTTTACTCCACAATTCTTTTTCTTTCGGGGATTTTTATCCTTTGATCCTATAGGCCTCCCGCGCTTTAATTGAACCGGTTCACTTGCTCTATTCACATCAAAATGTTCATGAGGAACTTCTATTTTTGATGGAGCATTAGCAGCGGGGATATAGGACTTCGTCACCCTTTTCGTATCTGTGAACGCATCGGGCAACTGGTTAGCCAATCTTTGCATATGTATAATTTTCTGAACTTCCACCTCGCGTTGATTAGAAGGAGGATCAAGATAAGCCAAAGAGTGTGTACACCAGGTGATATCATTTGGTGATTCTCTCGACCCTCCCCCTAACGCAGGGAATTCATTTTCATCAAAGTGGCTATCGGCAAATCGTGCCGTAAACATATCACCAGTTGCCGGTTCAAGATACCTTATTATACTAGGGGACGAATACCCGACATATATTCCCAATCTCCTCTGTGGTCCCATTTTTGATCTCTGTGGTGGCGCTATTGGGATATAGACCGCACACCCGAATACCCGGAGATGGGATATATTTGGGCCAACTGTATGGGCGAAAATTATTATAAGCACTTGGTCTCACTTGAACCAAGGCTCCCGCATGCAATATTGCATGTCCCCATACAGTGATTGGGAGTTTTGTTCTCAAGATTAACGGTCTTGCAATTAACTGCAACCGCTTTATTAATGACTCAGCCATGCCATTTTGCGTATGAACGTGCGGAACCGGATGTTCAACATCGATTCCCACAGACATACAAAAGTCATTAAAGGCTGCTGAAGTGAATTCACCAGCATTATCAAGCCTGACTTTCTTTATGGCATAATCAGGGAAATGCGCTCTCAACCTGATTATTTGGGCAATGAATCTTGCGAAAGCCATATTTCTTGTGGTCAAAAGACACACATTTGACCATCTACTAGATGCGTCAATCAATACCATAAAGTATCGAAATGGCCCGCACGGTGGGTTAATAGGCCCACATATATCACCATGTATTCTCTCTAAGAATACAGGGGATTCATTCCCAACTTTGGCTGGCGAGGGCCTAATTATGAGTTTTCCTTGAGAACATGCTTTACATGAAAACTCCCCCGATTGAAAAATCTTTTCATTTTTCAATGGGTGGCCACTCGTATTTTGCACAATTCTTCTCATCATGACTGAACCTGGGTGGCCAAGTCTTTCATGCCACACCCTAAAAGTGCTAGTAAACATCTGGTTTACTGCAACATAAGATTCAGTCATGTTGATTTTTGTGCAATATAAACCAGAGGACATCATTGGTAATTCTTCCAATGTTTGTTTCCTCTCCGTTGTAATGCAAAGATATTCAATGCCATTTTTGTTTATAGTCTCAATATGATATCCATTTTTGCGGATATCTCGGAAACTTAATAAGTTCCGGTGAGACTCCGGGGAATATAGTGCATCTCGCACTTCAAATTTCGTTCCCCTTGGCAATGAAAAACTTGCACTCCCAGAGCCAAGTATTATCTTTGCACTACCGCATATAGTACTCACGCTTTCAGCGGAGTCTTTCATTTTGAGATAGGAGAAATACTTCTTATCTTTGAGTATTGTATGTGTCGTAGCACTGTCTGCTAGACAAGTATCTCCATCCTTAATCTCAAAATGGCACCATCTGGGCCACGAAATTCATAAAATATGAAACATTTTATATTAAACATAATATATATATTACAAAGACTATATTATACAATACAAGAAAAACGATTAAGAGATTTGTTATTCTTGTCTTCTTTACAAGACACTATCATCGATTTGACTTTCTTTGGCTCAGTTGATTCTTCAGATCAACGAGATAGTCGGCGACATCCAGATGAAAATCATCACTTAAGCCATCAAAGGATGGACCAGGTTCATCAGAGATGAAGTTGGTCTCTGTGCATCCTTATTTTTGGCTTGTTGTGATGCCCTGTACAGATCGGCTAAATGTTTGGGCGTACGACATGTACGCTCAAAGTGATTATTCATGCCGCATCTGTAACAGGTGCGTTCACCCTTTCTTTTTACCGCTCGACCATCATCACTTTCTCTTCCACGTCCACGACCTCGACGCGACGCCTCTCGCGTCTGCGTTCACGTTCAGGCTTTTTAGTATGACTGGATGACGCAACATTCGCTTCAGGGAATGGCACAGATCCAGTTGGACGGAGCTGATGGTTTAACATCACAAGCTGATTATTTTTTTCAGCCACAAGGAGGATTTGCATCAACTCCGAGTACGAGGTGAATTCTCTTGCCCGGTATTGTTGTTGCAGGATTATATTTTCAGGATGAAAAGTTGAGAGAGTTTTTTCCAACATATCAAATTCACTGATATTCTCTCCACACATTTTCATCCTGGAAGTGATGTTGTACATAATGGAATTGTACTCAGCAACACTTTTATAATCCTGGAACCGGAGGTTCAACCACTCGTACCTCGCTTCGGTAAGATCATATATTTTTGATGATCAAACCGAACTTTAAGCGAGTTCCATAGATCCGCAGGATCTTCTTTTGTGATGTATTCATCTTTTAAACCATCATGTATATGGTGGCGTAAAAAATCATGGCTTTCGCCTTTTGCTCATCGGATGTCTTTCCAGACTTATCGATGGTGCTCAAGAGACCATTTCCTTTTAGGTGCAACTTTGCACCTACCGTCCAAGACAAATAGTTGTTACCACTAATGTCAGGGCGGCGATCTCGAGCTTTGTCAAATTCGACATTATAACTGAATAACAAAAACTTAAACTTTTGAAAATTTCAGCATAATAACGGAATATTAAAAGCATAAATTGAAATACAAAAATATAAATGACTGAATTTAAAGAGCATAATATAAAGGCAGAAATTTAAATTTGGGAGGAGACATAGTCATCAACTCCGCTACATGGAGGAGGTTTTACCATCAACTCTGGAGGAAGGATTTCCCTACCACTCCATATATATGATCTGAGGAGACATAGTCTACCATGTGATCATTTGTTTCGGAGTAGGCAGAGCCTAGTTTCCCGGTTTTAAGAGATTTATTTGATTGAGAGACAGAACCATATATACGATCAGCTCGAAGTAGGCATGGCCTAGCATCCCGGCATAACAGATAAAATCTATTTTAAAATTTTAAAATAATTTGGACAGAATTTAGTCTCATCTTTGCGGTATAAAGATTGTTGAGATTTAATGGATCTAATCTAACAAGTTTATCGGTTATTAATTTGTGCAGGAATTAAAGAACACAAGAGATTTTTGTTTACCCAGTGTTCATTTCCTATTCACTGGAGGAAGGAATCGCGCCTTCCGTCGCTCATCACTATTACGGCGAGAACACCAAAGAGATACAGAGGTCCGATGATCGGAAAACACCTCGGGTTACAATCAGAGCTCACACACCTAAAAAGCTAGAAGGATCTCAGGTTAGATCTTCTTTCTATCTCGCTTTCTCTCTATGATCTCGCTCTCTCTCTCTAACTTTCTCTCTAACTCTGCAATTCTGTTGCAGGTTGTTTTCTGCGTGACGATGGAAAAGACGAAGACTGAATTGACTTAAATCCCAGCTGGATTAGTTATATAAAATATTACTGTGTTAATCAAATTATCATACTAAAAAATATAAACATGTTAACACACACATAAATTTTCATGTTAACATAATTATCATATAAAAAATTATCAATGTAATCAAGTTATCATCTTTTAGGAAATACAAAAATATAAAATAGAATAATTAACTTGTTAACTCGATTAACATTTTATGAAATTACCGTGTAAACTAATTATCTTATCATAAAAAATATAAAATTATAATGTTAATTCAGTTGCATTACTCACCTTTAACAACGTTAGCAATGCTACTTATCACCACCGTCGGAGCTCTTTCATCCAAAACCCGCCGGAGCTATTTCTTCATCTGCTCCACAGCGGCGGGCTTCTCATCCATCTCGAATTTCGATTCCATAAGCTTCATATGAACCTTATCTTCCCTCGAACATCAACTATATCCATCATCTCTCTCTTTCTCCATCTCTTTTTTATCATCTCTGATTTTCTTGCGAGCACATCACAAACTTCTTCAAGACCATTTGATCTCTTCTCTTTTTCTATTACTTCTTTCATCTTCCTTTTCGTAATCAAAGAGGAGAGAGAGAAAAAGAAACTTCATCTCCAATTCTCATCAGCCATTCGTGAACCGTCGCAGGAAAGAGAAAAGCAAACAAAAAAAATTAATTAATGAATATGGATATAAGTGGAATTTCTCTAACAGACATGTAGGATCATACAGTATCAAAATCTGTCACCTAATTTTGATAGTTTCCATTGGTATCCAGTGGTGTTACTCTATTTATAAAGAGAGAAAGTGGTGACTTTAACTTCATTTTTTTTCTTTAAGAAATTTGTCTTTGTTCTTATATTATATGGAAATCTTTTATTAGTTTATCTCTATTTTTTCTTCTTAAAAGTTTCATTTTTATCCCGAAATAATTCATGTTTCTTGAAGAGATTTAAATGTTAATAGGCCGGATTCAATGTATTGTTATCAATAGAGACTGACTATGAATGAATATGCTTATTTTATATCATAACCAAATTATGACATGAGAGATTACATTTGTTATTCAGGCATGTAGCAAGCAAAAGCAACTTCGCAAACACACGTCAAATAAGATATTACAATAATTCTAACTAGTTTTGGTTGATTTTTAAAGATAATTTATTTTATATTAGCCTTGAGACTAAGAAAATGCAAAATGGAACGAAAACTGAGACCTAGCTGATACAACAACACAACACGACACATGCATTTACCGCATCGCAGCACTACTCCTTGAGACGTTGACACGTGGCCTTTTATTGCCCCTTGGATTGTTGTTACAGTCAAAGCTCATACCATCTCCACCGACGATATCCGTAAACATCCTTTGCAAGTCCTCTAAGCTGTCTCCCTAATTTAATCAAAACCGAACCGGTTCGTCAAAACCAATTTCTAATTTGAACCGAGCATTCTCAAATTTCCAAATCTAGCTTCCAATTTTTGCATTTATCATATTATCAAACCGGTTTAGTTAATCGACCAAACTAAAAGAACAAACAAAAGCTAATTAAAATTAAACCGGTCTTGGATAATCCAACCGAACCCGAAATTATATCTACAAATTGTCAATTAAGTCATTAACCGTTTTATAAACCGGGATTATCAGAGTAATCGAACCGGTTGGTTATACTGAATTGGGATGCTAACCGGAAAATGAAAGGAGAATCCCAACATACCTCGTCTTTGACATTGTTCATCATTGAGATCATCTCTTGCATAAAATCGCAGAAGTCCTGATCACACAACATTTAGGGAAACTTCAGTTAATAAAAAAACTCCGGGGTGAAAAATGTAAATTCTAAAACAATGGAACAATTTAGTAAATAAATCAAACTTTACGAAACGACGGCGTTTAAAATAAATGTATACGAACATCGTCGTCGTCGTCATGGGGATCGTATAGTCCAGCGTCGTACATTGATCGCTTATTCTCGTCGTTCAAAACTATAAAACGTGAGACGGACGTTAAGAAAACATAACGGACGTTAAGAAGATATTTTCTCACGGAGGAGAAAAACGTGAAATTACCGGAATAGGCTTCCTGGATTTGCTGAAACCGGCGTTTAGCTTCTCCGGCGACTCCAGGGTTTCTCGCGTATCTATCCGGATGCCATTTCTTCAACAAAATGTCAAATTGACCAAAATATTCAGATTCTTATTAAATCAAAATGTACTCAAATCAAATGTTCCGATCAAAATTCTCCCCGAAAAACAAATGTTACGGCGGTTGCAGTACCATGGCGAGCTTGAGGTAAGCAGTACGGATGTCGGAAACGGAGGCGTCTTTGCGAATCCCGAGAATGTTGTAGTAGCTACTAGATCTAGGTTTGGATCCGCCGCCATCGGAAGCCATATTTTCGGATGAATCCTCCGTCTCCGATCACCGCTGCGTCTTCAACGATCGCTTTCAGAAGTCAATTTTTCACAGCATCGAGAAATTAGAAGAAATTTCAGATGAAAAATTTATGGTTGTGTTTGAATGAGTGGAGAAAATATCAGAGAGCTGAGAAGTTAATAATGGTGTTTTGAGTTTTTTTTTTTTTTGTGGAAGGGGAAGAGAATGAAGAAGAAAATATCTTTGGGTAGGAGAGAGAGATGGAAGTTAGAGAAGGAAACTTCGAGAGAGGGTTTTGATTTTTTTTTTTTAATTCATTTAAGATATTTTATCTGACATGTCACGTGTTTATTTCATTTGATTATTTGTTAGGCCCATGTAAGCGCACTATGATTATCTCTGAGTTCTGCTGCCGGGCTTTGTTGGGCTTCCTCATGTGATGATAACATGGCCATGGCTTCTGAAGACTCTTTGATGCTCAAATTAAAATTTGTTAGCATGACTTATAAAAGAGTCTGATATGAGGTTTTGGAGTGTTACTCTCCAAATGCACAGCTTCAAATCTAACTTCAATCAATTGCATTTTAGTGCTTAGTGCTTACCATTAGTTATAACTAATGGTGATGATCATAAACCTTGTAAATACCTACAAAACATATATTTAAGAAATAATTGAAGTCATATTAATCAAAATTATAATAGAAACTCTATAAAATCACTTAATAATAAAATTACATCATAATAATATATTAGACAAACATAATCATAAAAAAAACACACAAGAATCATTGAATTAAAAAATAATATTAATATAAATATAACTTCCAAAATGATACTTAATTTTAAGTTCTTTCTTTAAATTTTACATATAAATATAAAATATTATGTAAGGTTGCAAAATTTGTATGATACATAAATTTATAACGATTAATATGATAAACACAAAAATTAGTAAGAATATTTTTGAAATGTATAGTTAGAAAGAGAAAGACTATCATGCAATTAAAAAACATGAACCTCCAAAATTGAAAATTTAAAACAAAACCTTAAATTTGGAGGGTTTTTTTTCTTGGAATATCTTAACTTAGCGTGCATGCTCTGTTTTAAATTAGTGTGTTTATGTTTTAGGCGTAGGAAAAATGTCTGGAGTTCCTCCCAAAGCATCCTTATATAGGATCCATGGTCGAATGGACGCATCTCTTCGTCTAGCTGTCTAGTAACGGACTCAGTCGATCAAGCTAGTAGTGGTAGATCTTGTTTTTATTCACTTAGCCATGTCTCTGAATTCCATTTGCATTCTATACATGCTAGCTCATAATCTTTCTCGACCATAACGTATTCTGACCCTGGCCTATCTGGACTCGATCATAGTCTTTCCTGACTATATTGTGTTCTGATCTTGGTCCATCAAGACTTACTCTTTTCCCATATTTTTTCTATCTTGAACGCGGCCTAACTTCTCAATCATCTTCGTCCTTTTGGAACTTGATCATGATTTATTTCTTGACCTTGGTCCAACACGGATTCGATCAATTCCAACCTTGGTCCTGCAGGAACTTGATCATTTCCGACCTTAGTCCTGCACAGACTTGATCATTTCTGACCTTGGTAAATCTCCGAACATGTCTTTCAATGATTTAGGTCATCGTATTCTGATCTTGGTCACTTGTAGACTCGGTCATAGATCCCAATCCTAGTCTCCTAACTAGATCATATCCTGATCTTGGTCCCTTGTCGACTCAATAATATTCATGAAATCTTAACCCTTTCAAAATAAACCACTTTAGGCCAAACTTGGAATAGATCTGGACTCGATCAATACTTCCATAGCGTAGTCTAATATTGACTAGTTAGCCCGATCATTATTATGATCTTGATGTAGGAACGCAATTCTACAATTAGGTGACTGATTAATGTAAAGTAAAATATATAAACAAATTAATATAACATAATATTAAAATGATACAAAATAAACAAGAATTAAGGAAATAAAACCGGATTTGCAGAGTCGAGATATGATCTCTTTCCTTAATTTTGTAAACGCCCCGTAGTGTGACGGTTGCATGGCGTTCCGAATCCCAGGATAAAACTGCATACTTCTTATGATTGCATCACTTAATACATAAGCTTTCGAACCATGTTTTCTGTGATGTACTCTCATAAAGAAAAATAAAACAAAAGAAGAGAAGTGAGAGATTGTTGATTTTGTTCTTGTATAAGTGTGTCCAAAATGAGAAGACCAAGGCTTAATATATAGCCATGCACTCCAACGTAAGTTTGTGCCATCATGGAGACTTTAATGTCTTGTATCAAATTCTAATAATGGAGTATCACTCCATTACTCACCAATTTGACCACAAGATTTAATGAAAATATATTAATAGCTTTGACCAATTAAAACTTATTAATATAATTCATTTTATAGATTTGATTTCTTGTGTTTAAATAAAAACACGAAAGATCAATAAATATTTGGTTTAAAAGAATAAGTTAATGGATATAAAATTCAATTAACAAATTCAAACCCAAATCCAAATTCAAGTCCATAAATCAAAGTGGCTAATTTGCTAATTTTTACACTTAGCCAAATTTTAAGTTTTACAAGCTTTTTAACACATCCACTCTGAATCTCCATTTCTCATTCAAACAAACTTCATTTTGACATATAAATATACTATCAAAAATGAGTTCTAACACTTGATCTATCATCTCCGAACAGATCGTAATTTCCTTGGATTAATCGAACCAGCACTACAAAAATAAAAAAATCTCAGGATTTTTTCTGTCACATTGTATTAATATTCCGTCATAAAATTTCGATTGTGACATAGTATTTGCTAATTCTAAAAAGTTATAGGAGAATTATCGTACAACTCAAATTCTGTCATAAAAAAACGTCACAAAATAACCCCAAAAAAAACGTGTCTTATTCTAATGGATGTATTATTATGCGGTCAATGAATAGTTACATGCCTTCCGTTCAGATGATAAAAATGATTCAGATGATAAAGATGACACGACAACTTTTTAACTGTACGTGACTTTTACCGAACGAGTCATTTAAGCACGTGTCGATGATTTACGCGGTTCAACTATAGTCTGAAACCAAAACTCTGTATTTGTGATTTGTCTATAATATGACTAATCACCATTTATTTCTCTATGTGGTCTGTGCTCACATTGAGTCACAAACTACCAAATTTTTTAACCCTTGTTTTGTTTTTTGTTATAAACATTTTTCGCAAATCAAACCGAAAATTTTGATACTGTTACGGTGTTACCACGTATTCTAAAAACAAATATTAATTTTTAAATTAAAAGAGGAGGGATGAGATCAGTACGTATCACCTTTGTGTCTTTGCTTGTAGCTATCATCGAGGAAGAAGAGCGTGACTGTGATATTATTAAGAAGAAAAGAAGAGGAAGAAAAATGCAAATTAAGATATATATATATATGTGTGTTTTAAAGAAAAAAGCAAATTGTTCTTAAACTCTGTACCTAAAATACTAAACCATAAACTTAACTTTTGTGTTAGTCTACAAATGAAAAATAGTATAAACTATACCATATAGGCATATATATATATATATATTGCAACAATTCGAAACAGTTTTTGTAATCGATCCAGGAATTGATCGATTTCCCATATTTAAGAAAAATTGAAAATGAAACGTGCAAATTATGGCTCATCAAACTATATAGGGTCTAAATGGTAACCGCTGAATGTTGCTGAATGCGGAATCTAGTTGAATAAAATGAAGACTTTTTGCGAAATCTAACTGATTAGTTTGTAGTGTGAATGGTAACAGCTGAATATTGCTGAATACAGAATACAGAATGAATACTTGTGTAAATATTTACGTAACAGAATAATAAAATATTTACGCAGTTAAATTATGAAGAAAAAAATATATTCTACATAATAGTTATCTCAAAATATTTAAATAATTTAAAATATTTTAATTTAAGAATTTTATTCATAATAATTTACTAAACATCAAAATTTAACTCATTTAAATTTAAATATACATTTTATATTAACAATTCATTAATGAAAAGCATCCCATATTTGTTGTTTTATTCCTTCTCGTATTGTTTGCATATAGACACCATCTGTTGTTCCTCTTGTTCTTGCAAAAAAATTACTTCTTCGCCTTCTCCACCTTCTTCGCCTTCTTCACCTTCTCCATTACTATTAAACTGTTCTCGTGGTATTGCGTCAATATGCGCATCATCAAAATCAAAATCTTGAATTTGAGAAAGACGAATGAAGTTATGCAATCCAGCTGTGCTTATGATTATATTGTTTTGAATTTCGACCCCATATCTGGAAACTCTGATAAAATCCTCCATTTTTTCTTCCAAACTCCAAATGTTCGTTCAATCACTGAGCGGAGTGAAGAATGCCACCGATTAAACAACTCTTCTTCACCTCTAGGTGGGGAGCCAACTTGAAAATGTGGCAAATGATACCTATGACCTCTAAATGGAGCTAAATATCCTCTTGTATTAGCGTAACCGGAATCTACGAGATAATACTTGGATGGCGGAGGAGTTGGAAAAGTTGAATCACGCTCCATTGCATAAGACAAAACTCTAGCGTCATGTACTGATCCAGGACATCCTACAAATATGTAAGTGAATAACATATCATAGTTGCATATCGCCAAAACATTAATGCTTGTTTGTGAATGCCTGTTATAAAATCGAGCTGCCTCGCCACCAGCTACCATAACCGTACAATGAGTGCCATCCATTGCTCCAATAAAACCATTAAAATAAGGCCAATATTGAGTATTATCTCGTAAACCTCGAGGTACTTGTCGGAGCTGCTCAGGAGACTGCTTTCTTAAGTAATCTACCAGATAGTTTTCTGCATGCTTTAAGACATTCTTGAAATTTGCGTCCAACTGTTTCTTGTGCGCGTCCGAATAAGAGCCCAACCGAGTGTTGTGTCATGTTATGACCACATATCACAAGAAACATTGCCACTGTTTCTTCTACCGATATGTTTTTTGTGTTTCTCACTCCAAAATCTGTGTGCAATGTCTCACATAGACGTGTAAAGACCTCTATACGCATCCTCAAAAGATGTAAGCAATCTCTTGGATAGTTATAAATTCTTGTTTTTATGTTGCTCCATCCTAAACCCCATTCAGCTCCCATTGGTTGTCGATTATAATACATTTTGTAGTAATCTATCACAGGCCTGAAGAGTGCTTCCATGACATCCATGTGCTCCAGAAAAATTAGTTCAAGTAGCTCATCGTCCGTGAGGTTATGTAATCCACGTGAATATAACTCGATAATGCGAGAAACCTGAAGATAAATAATAATTCATTAATTAACACTTAAAACATCAAGAAACTAGTATCAGCTGAATAAAAAATTATATTTAATACATATTAAACATTTTTAAAATTAAAAGACTATTTTAACTAGTTGTCTCCATCATTATCATTGTTTCCAATTGTGCGATTGAAATCAGACAAATTAAAACGATCAAGTAACTCGGATGCAGACGCAGGTCTATATGCAAAACCTTCATCAGAGCTAACTCTTGGATTTGAGGACTCATCAAACTGTGGGTTAGAGTTTGGAACTTGAAATCCTTGTCTTCTTCTGAATTGGTTCGGTGAACCGGAACTTACAAATTGTGAAAACCCTCCCAAATTTGAAGTACCATCACCACCAAAATTTGAAGTTCCTCCGATGTTGAAATTTCCAGCATTATTGAATTGTGAAAACCCTCCTACGCCAGGAGAACCAGATCCACTACCAAATGATCCTCTACTACTTGGCCCGCTAGAACCACTAAGCTGACGTTTCCATGGACTACCCCGAAAAGTGCCACTTCGATCATAACCTGTCACCCCTTATGCAAAACCTTCATCAGAGCTAACTCTTGGATTTGAGGACTCATCAAACTGTGGGTTAGAGTTTGGAACTTGAAATCCTTGTCTTCTTCTGAATTGGTTCGGTGAACCGGAACTTACAAATTGTGAAAACCCTCCCAAATTTGAAGTACCATCACCACCAAAATTTGAAGTTCCTCCGATGTTGAAATTTCCAGCATTATTGAATTGTGAAAACCCTCCTACGCCAGGAGAACCAGATCCACTACCAAATGATCCTCTACTACTTGGCCCGCTAGAACCACTAAGCTGACGTTTCCATGGACTACCCCGAAAAGTGCCACTTCGATCATAACCTGTCACCCCTTCGAGAAAACGAATTCTCTCTTCATTATTTTTTAGCAGCACAAACCTCTTTTGCTCGAACGGGTCTCTTAAAATCTCCGATGATGCCCACCAAAAATCTGTAAATTTTTCTATGCCTTGTAATTCATTTAGTTGCAACCATGATTCACGCTCATAATCTTCATTCGCTTGGCTACGTGCATTGAGCATCTGGATTGGAGTTTGCATAGTTGCAAGATATGACTCAATATTTGTTAGATGTGTGTCCATAACAGCTCTTCTTCGTGGAATTTGTGTTGTCTGTCGGCTGGATTGGTTTCGTCCTCTATTAGTAGTTCTACCACCTCTGTTACCATGTTGCCTAGATCGTCGGTTATGTGTAGGTATCTCAATCGGCACTGATGAGTGATTTTCCATTGGTTGTTGTGGTTGCGATTCCGGTACACCATAAGTGAAGCCTTCTTCATTATTATCATCATCATCTTCTCCGGACTCTTGTTCTTCTTCATCATTATCGCTTTCAACTATCTCATATATATATAATATAAGTTACAAATTATGCTCATAATAAAAAACACGAGAGTGTAACAAAGATAATACCAGAAATATCATCAGATGTTGCATGAGAGTGAACAGAAGATATAACTAACAGAATGGTGAGAACAAATGCCATTTAAGTCTTTTTAGTGATATCCATTTTATAGTTTTTTCTTTATTTGTTTTTTTGTGGTTTTCCCTTTACTTGGGCTAATCAAGATTATATATAGAACACATAAGTCTTTTACGGTCAAAAAGACAAAAATAGATATAATCTTCCAATTTAATTAATTCTATTTATAGTTTCAATGATATATAAATATATATATATATATATATATATATATTTTAGGATATTTCATGTTTTAATGAGATTTGGGGTTTAGACCCGTTAGGGTTTAGGGAAATTTCGATTCGGTTTTGGTTTGGTTCATGTCGGGTTCGGGTCGGTTTGGGGCTAAATATTATGGACCCGTTCGGGTTTATACAAATTTTGGTTCTTATTTGGGTCTCATTCGGTTCTGATTTGGGTCGGTTTAAAACGATTTTTTAACCGAATATCCAAAATCCTACAAAATAACCGAAAAACTTGTCTTTACTTCATCTTATACTAAATATTTTTGGTCTTTTTGAATATTTTGGTTCTTTTGTTCTAAGTATAACTATTATTTTAGATTTATTATTGTAATTTTAGTTAATTTTTATTATCAGAAGTCTTCAAACCTAATTACTATTTTGGATATATAATTATATTTTGGATATTTTGGGTACTCATTCGGTTCTCGGTTCGGGTTCAGTTTTATCTTATCGGGTATAAAAATTTTGGACCCATCGGATATTCGTCCCAGTCCCAGTTCCAGTTTGGTTCGGTTCCATCTTTTTCGAGTCGGGTTCAGTTCGGGTCATTCGGGTCCGGGTAAAATACCCAAGCCTATGATAAATCAAGTGAAAAAAAATATATGTTTGCAAAAACCTTAAAGCCTTTATATTATTAAACAGAGGAAATACTCAATAATATAATTTACAAAAAAATTATGGATATAATATTTTTTTCTGGATATAAATAAAGACAATATTTATAATTTCTAAATAGTTTGGATGATTCAATCAAAAATTATTTCCATTTTTTTAGGTGAAACTCATGTCAGAGCACGTGAATCAATTTGAAACTCTCAATCATACGCGAGCTCCGAATCTCACCTTCCACAAATTATTGTAAATAAATTAGTTGGATAACATCTTATTATATAAAGTTGGATGCGCACAACGTGGTTGCGACACGTAAGATTTTTATAAAATATAGGATTGCGACATGTGTCACTTTTAATGTTACGTCCGTTAAGATCGTGACACATGTCTTGGGAAAAAGGAAAAAAAAATTAAAGGGAAAACTTTAATCTTTTATAATAAAAACGAAAAATTATATAATAAATTGAAAATAATGTATATCTTGGGAAAAAGGAAAAAAATAAAGGGAAAATTTTAAATCTTTTATAATAAAAACGAAAATTTATATAATAAATTAAAAATAATGTAATAAAAATACCTATTAGTACATGAAATAGGTATGTAAACTAAATATCCTAAAACTATATGAATTAGGTTACATAAACCCCTATTTTTAAAAATCCTATTAGTACATGGAATAGGTATGTAAACTAAATATCATAAACGGTATGAAATTGGTTACATGAAGAGAGCTATTGTATTCTCTTTTTCTCATTCACAAACTCATCAAAGCAAATTCAGAAAATCTCTTTGATTCTTTTCTCTAATTTTAAAATCATGTCTTTGAAAGTTCAAGAGAACAAAGAAAATTATTTGACTCTAGGTCAATTGGATCGAAAATCGAAATTATCGTTGTACTATTTTTATGGGAGTTGAGCTTCTATTACTTGATGAAAAGGTTAGTAACATCTTATTATATTGATATAGATAATCTTATTATAACATTGATTATAACATTGATTAACATTAAAGTTTTACTTTTGTTTGAAACAGAAAAACACAATTCAAGTTTTTGTGCATCATTCACTACTTCAAAAATTTTGAGATCAGATGGCCGAAGGAAACATCATCAAAATTTGTAATTTTAATCTGCAGTCTGCTTATAAAAAAACTTCTATTACTTGATGAAAAGGTTGGTAACATATTATATTGATATATACCTTATTAAGAAAAGGAGGAAAAATAACTCTCATTAAGAAAAGAAAAAAAAAACGAAAATAAAAAAAAATGTTACATCCATTACGAAAAGGAAAAGTAAAACATATTTCAAATACGAAAAGGAAAAAATAATAATATATAGTAAACTATAGCCTTCATGATTTAATTGTGTGATTCTATCTTTTGATTAAACTTCTCTCTCATTAAGAAATAAATATAATGTATTTGAAAATTCATGATATCAATGAAGAATATTTAACTCTAGATCAGTTGGATCCAAATCAAAATTATTGTTGCTACTTGTGTCTAATATTTTGAAAACAAGTGTTAACACAAGAAAATTGGAAAAATGTATAAAAAAAAACTAACAAAATAATTAGAAAACAACTAACTAATAATGGAAAGGAAATTTTATAATGGCCTAAGTCAAAAACAAAGCTGAAAAAACAATATAAATAGAATCGATTTACTAACTAATATTAACAGGAAAAATTATAATGAACTGATATTCTAATTTTCATATATTTTTTTTTGTTAGGTAAAAAATATTTGAAAATAAAGATTTCATCAACCGAAATCTCTTCAATAGAATAATAAAATTTTCACGAATTAATCAATCAATCAAACTTACACATGTGTAAGTCTTTCAATTTTAGATAAAAGTAAAAAGATAACAAATTAATTCATTTTTCGTATCATGAATTCAGAAAATATGTCAATTATAATAAAAATGTAAAAATATTACCAATCTAATATTATTTAGAGGTCTTTTATCAGGGTTTTAATATTAATCTACTTACTTTTAAAGTGTTAAATTATTTAATATTATTCTATGATTTATTTCAAAAATTGTATGATAAACCCGCATATACGCGGGACCTAATCTAGTATATATATATATATATATATATATATTTATTTATTTTTTTAAGAAACTAATCTCCTCAAATATCTATTTTAATAAACCCCGAATCTCATTAAAACATGAAATATTCTAAAATATATATTTTTATGTATCATTGAAACTATAAATCGAATTAATTAAATTTGAAGATTACATCCATTTTAGTCTTTTGACCGTTAAAGATGTATGTGTTTTATATAAAATCTTGATCAGTCCAGGTAAAGAGAAAATCACAAACAAACAAATAGAGAGAAATTTATAAAATAAATATCACCAAAAAGATTTGAGTCGCATTTGTGCTCACCATTCTGTTAGTTATATCTTCTGAACAAAAAAAAAGAATTGGTTAACTTGTATAAATATTCATTTCACCTTTTTAAAGAGAATAATATTAGAATTGCTCTTTTAACTCCACCCATTTAACACTCCTATATATCTACACCATTATACACTCATATTTAAGAGGAAATATGCCCTCATGATCATTGTTGTATTTGAGAGAGCTCTAACCGATTTCTTATTTTAAAAGTCAGATTTCTATAAAACCATAAATATTGGAATGTAGTGACCCACAATTCATACATATTTGAAAGCTTCATAAAAACTAAATAGATGTTATTAATTGAAATTATTTTATCGTAATCCAAACCGAACACAATCTCAAATCAAATCGAATTTTGTTTTTTTTTTCTTCTTGAAACCATATACATGAATTGAACTAAGTCTAAAAATCGAATACAAATGTAGATATTAACAATCATTTGGGAATATACAGTATACTTTGGCAGCTTTAAAAAATCCGCCGCCAAGGATTTACGGAGCCAAAGCTACTATGAATGTTTTGGCAGCCAAAAGTTGAGCAACCCAACGAATTCAGTTTGGGCCAAATATGGGGTCATTTAGGTTCTTACCAGAACAATGACCTCAATACTATAGAGGCAATTTTTTGCATTCAATATCATTGCGATCACAGATCCCTTCCTTTATAGATTAGTTTATTGGTTAATGAAACTAATTACATGTTATAAGCATAACATAAGTAAAACATAAGCAAATTACAAAAAAAAATTAAGCATAATGTAAGCAAAATATTTGAAAACAATATAAACAAGACACATGCAGAAATTATTTTCTCTTATTACTATTATGTTGCTTGAAGTTTAATTATTTTACATTTCCCTCTTAGTTTCATTTCTTCTAGTACGATTCAAAACATGGAATGTCAGACAATAAACATTATATATGTCCTTCGGTTTCTAATATTAGTTGATTAGTGAAAACATAATGAATTATGACACTTGTTGGTTTGGCCAAAGAGAATAATGACATATATAAACATAACAAATCGCATTAAAAGTCAGTTTTTTTATGAAATCATAAATATTGGAATGTATTGACCCACAATTCATACATATTTGAAATCTTCATTGCAGTATTTCAAGAGGAAAACAAATTTTAGAAGTTTTTATTTCGTTAATAGACAAAAAAAAATTAACTCAAAATTTAGGTAATTGTGCATATCAATGAAATAATTAACAGTAACTCAAACATTCAGAACATTCATTTCAGGGTGAAACCACTAATTATTGTTTTGCATTAGTTTGGTTAACCGGTCCATTTGGTTAACTGGTTAGCTAATTTAGTAGATCGGACGGCCAGGTTGGCTCCGATGACATCATCGACTAAAATAATATCATCCTCTCATAATGCGCCACGTCAAGACGCCAGCTCGATCATCGGGTGCAAGAGATCTGTTTCCAAAAGTTTCTTTTTTGCAATTTTTGGTCAAACCAAAAAATTTGTGTTGTAGATTAGTGAGTGAGGGAGAAGAAGAGAGACGACGACGAGGAAACCATGTTTCTGTTCGATTGGTTCTACGGAATCTTAGCGTCGTTAGGGTTGTGGCAGAAAGAAGCGAAGATCTTGTTTCTCGGACTCGACAATGCCGGCAAAACCACGCTTCTTCACATGCTCAAAGACGAGGTTTTGCTTCCTTTCTCGATCCTTCCGCTTACCCTTTGTACTGTTTGGTTCCTGTGATTTGGGTTTTCAATTTCTAGTTCTGTAGCCGAATTTGCATCGAATAAATGGGAATTTAAGGAATTATCGATAGAAGGCTAAATTGAATCTGAGATTTTGGGTTTGTGGTGTGAATTGGTGGCAGAGATTAGTACAGCACCAGCCGACACAACATCCGACGTCGGAGGAACTAAGCATTGGCAAAATCAAGTTCAAGGCTTTTGATTTGGGAGGCCATCAGATTGCAAGAAGAGTCTGGAAAGATTACTATGCAAAGGTACTATTTTTCTCAAATCAAACTCTTTTTGTGTTTTAGTGAAAGGTGTTTGTTTGTTTAGTAACCTATGCCAATAATACATTGTTGCTTGGATAGAGATTCATTACTTTCTTTTATCTGTGTGTCCTGCCATTTCTGAAATTCTCAAATTTTACACCTTTGATGTTGTATTAGAAGCTTAGATGTAAGTTTTTTTTATTTCATACACTTTTTTTTGCTTGCTTCTTTAGTTGTAGCTAGTTATTGATGTTGTATTTGGACCTATTGGCATAATGATTATGTTGGGGACGTACTTCTTGGTAATCTCATCTCTCTTGTTACTTTAGAATGCAAGATATTGTGCAGCTTCTTTGATTGTAGATAATTGAAACATTGCAACGACAAAGAGAGATTTGCAGAGTCAAATGCAGAGAAACATGGTCTTCTTTTTGTTGATACAAACTCTATTTTTCTCTTGCATAAAGGTTGATGCTGTTGTCTACCTGGTGGATGCTTACGACAAGGAGAGATTCTCAGAGTCGAAAAGGGAGCTTGACGCGCTTCTCTCGGACGAAGCACTTGCGACTGTCCCGTTTCTGATTCTCGGAAACAAGATTGACATCCCTTACGCAGCATCTGAAGATGAGCTTAGGTACCACTTGGGTCTCACCAACTTCACCACCGGTAAAGGAAAAGTGACACTCGGAGACTCTAATGTTCGTCCGCTCGAGGTCTTCATGTGTAGCATCGTCCGCAAAATGGGATATGGTGAAGGTTTCAAATGGCTATCTCAGTACATCAACTAGAGAAGACATCACCATCATCTTCTTCTCTTTTTTTTCATATGTCAAACCAAACCCCAAGAACATTTCCGTACAAGTTGTCTCTTTCTGAGCTAAAAGATTTGTGAATGATGATGATATCACATGACACATCCTTTTTCGTTTTTGTAGCTTTCTGTTTTTAATATAAGTTTGGTGACTTGCATTTTCCAAACTTGTTCATGTCTCTGTCCACATTTTTGTCAATTCATTGAAACTATTATTCCCAAGTTAGACCACCAACCTTTTTGTATGTACTTTCACTCTATATATGTTTATGTGCATTACTCAACCTACAATCAAATTGATTCAACAAACATGGATGTTCCAAAAGCACTAAGACTCTGGCTAATCTATGCAGTGTTGCTCTTAGTTAGTCAGAGACATTCAGGTGCCATTTTGGTTTCTTTAAAGTTTCTGCTTTCTCTTTGTTCAGTTATGGTTTTCAATTTCTTGAGATTGTTGATGCAGTGAATGCACAAGTCGGTGGTGTTATCGGAGGAGCAGGGATTTTAGTTCAGAGAGCCGCCTTCTGTTTCAACAATAACCTTGTAAGTACGATCATTGATCCAACGATAAAACCCACAAGAAAAAAGGTAAACACTTTTCAGACTAAATAGCCACTTTTTCTCCATTATTTGCAGCTCTACAGAGGCTGCAATGAAGCCTTTAGGCTAAACCAAGAAGGTGAATTCAAGGTGCCACTTGAGGAAACAGACAAGTTCTGCAACGGGCCTTGTGCAGCGGAGACAGAGCTCGTGCTCAAATGCGTTAACAGCGTCATGTCTGATTTCGTGTTTTACAACCGAGCTACACCGAGAGATATCAGGAACACACTTCGTGGTGGCTGCAGTAACTCTTTCAACCGAGGTTTTAATAACCTCTTTAACTTTTCTCATACTTATAGTTACACACATAAACCATGGAAACAAGAACTTGTTTTGTGCTTTGGATATGTATACAGGTAACTTCAATGTTGGAAACTATGCTCAAGGACTGTTTTTTGGCAAGGCTGAGAAAAAGCTTCCTGGTTTGTTCATTGGACTAGTTCTTGGTTTCACGCCCTTGATCCTTTGAAAAACCAAGAACATTATGTAAATGACATTACTCTTCATTTCAAGAGAGGCCAACAAATATAACTCTGAAACAAAGATTTCTTTCATTTCGTTCACCGGAATTTTTGTAACGGTCTCAAAACTACAGTTAATTTAAAACATATTTACACTTTTCTCCTTTGTTTCAATTGCTTGATGATGATGGCTTGTTAAATAACAGAAGCTGAGGTTTCCATGGAATGGTTCTTAGGCTTCTTCGACTTCTTCTGGTTATCCATATGAGAGACCTGCACAAATATTTTTTGCTCACTTTAGATTCCATGTCTCTGGTATAATATTCATGCTTTACACACCAAAAGGCCATTCATATCATCATACCCATATCTTTAAACTACGAAATACAAAGATGAGAGCTTTTAAGAGAGCTGCTTACAATATGAGATTTCCACTGAGTCGTCTCTAAGCTACTGTCACTTGGAGGTTGATCCCGAACATGGCGAAATATGTGAACAAGCACCGCAGCATCAAGAGCAGCATACTCTAGCTGCACAATTCAGTTATTAATCAAGATTCAATAGTTATGCTTTTTACCCTTTAACATACTCATGACTCTAATTATATATGAAACATTTCTCCAGCAGCTGACCAGATAATGAAAAAGGATTATAAACCTGATTCTGAGCCAAAGGCCTTTGTTCCCAGTCGCTGTTGCGTCTTGTTTTGTTCAAACCCACTCCTAATATTTTCTGAAACAGAACAAAGAGCTCAAATGATAAACAAACGACTTAAGATCTACCTTTCAAATGACAGGAAACAATAGAAAAGCTCACCTTGGTTAGTCCTGATAGACCACCAGTTGCTTCTTTGAAAACATTTTGAATGTCTAGCAACATTTCATAGCTCTTGAAACACTCTAGATCGCCGTACGAAAGCGCCAATTGCTTGATGTCACATTGAAAATTGTAACCTGAGGATAGTTTTATAATCAGGGTATGCAAAGCCAGAGAGAATCTTGATAAGGTAGGCAAAAAGAAAGAAGATAGATGTCTCATGTACCTAGCTTTAATGGTTTATACGACTGCAAAATCTGACTAAGGCAGCTATCAAGAACTTCAGAGGCATCATTGTAAAGCTTGATCAAGTCCAATATGAAAACTTTGGTATCAGATCCAATTTGCATAATTGAAACCTGTACAAGACAAGACAACAACAAGGTTAAGTAATATTACAACATGTTTAAGAGTGAGAAGAAACTAAAAAGAGTAAAATCTAACCTTGTTCGGTTCACTGCCTTTCATATAATTTGGTTTCCATTCACAGTCAAGACCAATAACTTTACATTCTTCAAGAAAAGAAGTTGCTTCTCTTAACCCATTTACTTCATCAACCCAAACTACTTCCTCCACAGCTAGATCTTTCAGATGCAGAAAGCTTTTGTCAACAAAACCAACCTCAGCCTCTGAGAAACAAATCAAGAATACCACATTGTAAGCGTCTTGTCTTTTTAAACACACTAAGAGAAGTTCCATAGCAACAATATATATAGTACTGTACCACCTTGTGCTTTTGGCAGACCTTTAAGCGAATATCGATCACATAGTTCATCAACCTTCTCAATGTAACCAGCTTCCATTGCCAAGTAAACCTAAGAACTCAAAAGACCACTAACACTTCAGCAAAATGATTACAGAACAAATCACAAATTTCCTTTTGATTATATTGTAAAACAAGCTCTTACCAGATACTCAAGAAGCTGTGTGTCACCTTTTGCCTGTCTTTCAGCAACATCCCAACATGCTTTTTCTGCTAAATCCTTCAGTGCACTGCGCATTAATATCAAAAATATCATCTTTTAGTGGTAAAGATGTATTATTGTTAACAAATGAGAAGCGAAAAACTCGACTGCAACGAACCTTTCTTTGCACTTGTAACACAAATCAGGAAACTCATGCTGGAGATAGTTCTTCTTTATGACATTATAAGCCTGCTTTAGCATATTCCTTGAGCCATACTCTTGGACAAGAACGCATAAACTTGGTCTTCCCATGAAAATAGCCCATTTCTCTGCAGCTACAAAGTCTCTATCCTCAACCATCTGTTGAAGAAAGGCATCTCCAGGGAAGCTCAGAGAGAAATGCTCTAACAAAGACACAGCAGTCATGAAAGACTTCGATTTGATCAAGTCAGAGATGTATCGCTCCAGAAACACACTTCCTCCTCCGGAAGCAAATCCAACTTCAGAAGACCCAGAAGACAACAAGGCCTCATCGATGTTTGTTAACCCAACATCAAACATTTTAAGAGTGTTCACCATTACTTTCTCATCATAAGCTACAATTCCACCAACAATAGCAAGGAAGAGTGTAGCAGCTAGTCTTCTCGCCAAACACATATCTTCTTGGCTCGTTTCTGAGGTCGATGTCTTGAAGTAACGGCGAAGAGACGATATCAGCAAGTGACTAAACCCTTCACCGTATGTCCCAAACACAGGGAGGACATTAAGGCACTGAACAATGAAACTTGCAGGACCTGGTTGTGGTTTATTAGCAAGAACTTGATGAACTTGATACTGTAACGCTTGAAACTTCTTCGTTGCCTTGTTGCTTCCTGAAATTCACAGTAAAGCTTGAGACTTTGAGAAAAAAAACGGTAAAGCTTGAGACTTTGAGGAATAAAACAGTGAGATTTAGAGCAAAGCTTGAGACTTAGAGGAATAAAACAGTAAAGCTTGAGACTTTGAGGAGAAAAACACTAAAGCTTGAGACTTTGAGGAATAAAAAAGTTTAGGACTTTGAGGGAACAAAAGCAGTAAAGCTTGAGACTTTACCATGAATGTAGCATTCTTTGAGAAGATATAAGAAGACGAGAGGAGAAACATGGGTTAAATCTGAAAATGCGTGTAAGCAGAGAGTTCCTGATGATTCTGGACCATTAGCTTCTTCTTCATCTCTTAACTCAGAAAGAGGTTCTTCTTCAGCATCCAAACCCATTCTAGAGAAGATCCTAAGCAAATCGAAATGAGTCTATCTAAAAGCAACACACTTTCAGGGAAATTTCAATCGGTTTCTCACCGGAGATTTCTGAAAATTGAAGAGACTTCACTTGCCGGCTAGAGAAGAGAAGAAAACGAAGAGTTTGTGAGTTTATAAAAGACGGATCTTTTGCTGCCCCCACAATAACTTAAACGGCAAATCCTCCGTTCGTTGACTCCGTTCTGTTCCGTTTATCTGTGTCTTAAGCTCATCTTTGATTCTTTGTCTATTTCTTTCGGGTCATTTCAATCCAAAACTTGTATAAACCGGCCATAACCAGCTCTCTCAGTTTCAATCAGACCACAAAACCGAAGCCTTCATGAAATTGAATCACACGAGCTTGAGCTATAACAACTTGGTAGGCTTTAGGACCAAAGTAAGTGTGAGAGTTAAGTTTGTGTATTCTATCCATTCCTTTTAACCCTTTGATTATTCATCATAATATGGGTTTAGTGTTTCAATAAAGACACTAGCAGTTGACAAAAATGTAGACCGAGACATGAACAAGAACAAGCAAGCCTTCAAACAAAAAAAAGGAGAAAAGAGTGTATTCATGTCCACATTCATAAAATGCCACTAGCTCAAAAAGGACAAATTGTATCAGAAATGTTCTTGCGTTTGATATATGAAAAAAAAGAGAAATGATAATGATGATGATGATGATGAAGTCTTCTCTAGTTGATGTACTGAGAGAGCCATTTGAATCCATCACCATATCCCATTTTGCGAACGATGCTGCACATGAAGACCTCGAGCGGACGAACATTAGAGTCTCCAAGCGTCACTTTGCCTTTACCGGTGGTGAAGTTGGTGAGACCCAAGTGGTACCTAAGCTCATCTTCTGACGCTGCGTAAGGGATATCAATCTTGTTTCCAAGAATCAGAAACGGGACAGTTGCAAGCGCTTCGTCCGAGAGAAGAGCGTCAAGCTCTCTTTTCGACTCTGAGAATCTCTCCTTGTCGTAAGCGTCCACTAGGTAGACAACAGCATCAACCTTTATGCAGAGAAAAATAGAGTTTGATCAACCTTTATGCAAAACACACAAAGAGAGTTTCATTCAGCAAAGAGAAGAGTATGTTTCTCTGCATTTGATCGACAGAGCAATAAATATGCTAAACCCAAAAACAAGCAAACACACAAAAACATATATCTATCTAGCTTGCTCAATCTCGTTGCAAATCATATCGAAGACTGTGTGTATCCTGCACTCTACTGTAACAAGAGAAACACTATTACCAAGAACATGACCAACATAGCCAACATAGTCTTTATGCCTAAAGGTCCAAACATCCCTAACCAGTTTAAAACTAAGGAATGGTAGATATTTTACAATTTATCCTATCAATTGATCATGATGGAAACATTTTGAAGTAACTAATTTGTAGTTGGATTGTCATGTACTAAAGAAAATTCCAAACCTTTGCCAACAACAATCAGTAAAGGTGTAAAATTTGAGAATTTCAGAAATGGCAGGACACACAGATAAAAGAAAGTAATGAATCTCTATCCAAGCAACAATGTATTATTGGCATAGGTTACTAAACAAACAAACACCTTTCACTAAAACACAAAAAGAGTTTGATTTGAGAAAAATAGTACCTTTGCATAGTAATCTTTCCAGACTCTTCTTGCAATCTGATGGCCTCCCAAATCAAAAGCCTTGAACTTGATTTTGCCAATGCTTAGTTCCTCCGACGTCGGATGTTGTGTCGGCTGGTGCTGTACTAATCTCTGCCACCAATTCACACCACAAACCCAAAATCTCAGATTCAATTTAGCCTTCTATCGATAATTCCTTAAATTCCCATTTATTCGATGCAAATTCGGCTACAGAACTAGAAATTGAAAACCCAAATCACAGGAACCAAACAGTACAAAGGGTAAGCGGAAGGATCGAGAAAGGAAGCAAAACCTCGTCTTTGAGCATGTGAAGAAGCGTGGTTTTGCCGGCATTGTCGAGTCCGAGAAACAAGATCTTCGCTTCTTTCTGCCATAACCCTAACGACGCTAAGATTCCGTAGAACCAATCGAACAGAAACATGGTTTCTTCGTCGTCGTCTCTCTTCCTCTCCTTCACTCACTGATCTCTTCGAAGAAGAAGAAACTGAAACAAAAAAAAGTTCAGATCTTTCGTCTTGATTCCAAAACACAGGAATTTTTTGGAAACAGACTGACGTGGCGGATGATCGAGCTGGCGTGTTGACGTGGCGTATTATGAGTGGAAGACATTATCATGGTTGATGACGTCATTGCAAACCAGCCTCGACCATCAGATCTATGCATCTAGCTAAGGCTACGACCAGTGGCTGAGATCTAATTTCAAATAAGTTGTGTTTTGGACCTTGTGGTGAGTAAAGTGTTGCCGTATTGCTATAAACTAGATTTTATCAATATGAATAATTTTAATATAAACAGAATCATTTTTTTTTTAAATTACAAAGTATTTGTATAATGTATAATATTTATAATTTAAAGATTTCAAATACCCTAAAAAATCATAATAAATTGTAATATTTATAACATAGTAACAAATTTGAGAAATGCTAGTTTGGATAATATTTGAGAAATGCTAATTTGGATTGTAATTAACAAAAACTCAAACTTTTACTGGTTGTTTGAAAAAAGATAAATTTTCTTTGAGTTTGGGAAAAACTTCTTCTTCCATACACCATTTTCAAATCGTATTCAAAATAGTAATTTGTGTGGTTTTTAGAGTGTTAGATATATATTTAACATAATTATCTCCCAATGCATGGTAATGATTTTTGGATGAAACTATTCTCCTCAATTTACAATTTGGGATCGCCAGTCAATTATTTCTTCATACTTCATACTTCATACAGTAAATTTCAAGTTTTAAGGCATGAATTCAACAAATAAGTAATGGCCGACACACAAAAAAGTGAAAATCAAATCAATAACTGCATACATGCAGTTTAAAATTGAAAAAAAGGTAAAAAGTGAACGCGTGTCCCACGATGTGAAAGGCTAGCCCTGTACCCTACATGCATCTTCTTAACCGTCCAACTTTAACCTCCATGCAGTTTACAAAGATCCAACGGTCATAGTTTCCTCTGAGTACTACTAAACACCAAGTACAAAACTAAAATACTGTCCGAAACTATAACCATAAAGTGATAAAACGTAGAGAAAAGTGTTTGTATTGTTCAGGAGAAATATCAAATATCAAATGGTTCCAACCATCAGAAACATTGCATGTTGTAGTACTCATCGAGACTACTTCGTCGACTTCTTTGGAAGTAGCTTGATCGTCACGGTAACATCGACTCCCTCAGTCATCAGGAAATGGATCAGAAGTGTCATCTTCCACCACCGCCATTCTCCATCTAACCACCCTCTCGTCGTTGGAGTCGGCGTTCAGTGGACACCGGAGGCAAGTTATGACGATCCTCAGGCGGATACTCTACAGTTATGCGTGAGTAACCGATGTATCATCATCCAGTTGTCTCACTGTGACCGTGTCCCCGATGCCCTCCGCAGTTTCCTCACGAATCAAGAGACGACTTTTGTCGGTGTTTGGAATAGTCAAGACGCGAGAAAGCTAGAGGAATGTAGACATCGTCTGGAGATGGGACAACTTCTTGACGTAAGGAGGTACGTTAGTGTGAGTCTTAGGAATCGTTCGTTTGAGGAGATTGTTGAGGCATGCATGGGTTATCAAGGAGTGAGGCTAGATCCGATGATAAGCATGAGTGATTGGAGTGTTGAGTGCCTTGATGTTGATCAGGTATGTCAAGCTTCGGTGGAAGCTTTTGTTTGCTTCAAGCTCGGTGTTTCGGCTCGTATATGGCAGCAAGATTGAAGAAAAAAATGAGTAACAAAGGAATCGAATGTTCTGAATCTTTAATATTTTCTTTCGTTATAGTTGGGTAGATTAATTAGTTTTCTTCACTATTTGCTTTTTATTGTAAAACCTTTTTCTGCAACTCTTGTAAACTTTTTATGGTATCAATCTTAACATGAAAACCCCCAAAATATATATATCCTTGTCGTTAGTTTCTTGCATGAGTAAATATAAGTATAAGTATACTCATGCAAGAAAAAGTATACTCATGCAAGAAAAAGAGCTATTTTATTTTAAATACATTATCTAAAACTATAAAGGAAAAAAAAGTTATTTTGAATGTTTAAAAGTTTAAGTGGTTTGATATTTCAAGAGCTATTTTATTTTAAATACATTATCTAAAACTATAAAGGAAAAAAAAGTTATTTTGAGACCACGATGTTTAAAAGTTTAAGTGGTTTGATATTTCAAGAGCTATTTTATTTTAAATACATTATCTAAAACTATAAAGGAAAAAAAAAGTTATTTTGAGACCACGATGTTTAAAAGTTTAAGTGGTTTGATATTTCCATGTGTATGATACTGTATTCAGTTTCAAGTAAGTAAAAAGCAAACTCTTTGCAAGTTAATTAAATTTTGAAACCAAAACAATCAAAGAAAATGGTAAACATGGCTTAACCTCGGACAAGTGTAGCATTAATTAGGGTATGAATATTTGTAGTAGTTGGAGTGTGGGACGAAAAACTGTTACTATTCCACACATAAATTTATTTCATTTGGTTAATAAATTAATAATTAGAATGAAAAAGTGTGTTTTCTTTTTGTCATCTAATAATTAAACCGTGTATGGACTATGGACATTGGACTCTGTTATTTTATTTACTTTCTTCATAGTCCAAAAAATCTTTCCGGCGATAGATTTGTCAGTGGAGGACAAAACTAGGAAATTAATAAGGTTTTAATAAAAACGTTTGGGGTTTTTTAGAAAACGTTTAGAAAGTATGAGGGTTTCTTTAGTAAATTGATTGTTTTATGTTTATTGAGAGAGAGAGAGAACAGAATCGGCGGACAATTTTCTGCTCTCCACTCGTCACTCGATCCAGGTTTTCTCTCTCGGTGATCACTGTTTCGATTTTGGTGAATTTGGGTTTTTTAATTAGGGTTCGTTGATGTTGAAAGTGTGAGCTTTTTATACAGAAATTGACCATGGCGACTCCGAGACGACTGATTTTCCCTTCCGATGGTGAGGGTGAGGATGGTGATGGTGATATCTCTGTCTCGGACATTGCGAAGCATTACTCAATGCTTGCAGAAGCCGAAGAAGAAGAAACAGAGAAGACGAAGAAGACGAAGAAGAAGAAGAAGAGCAATTTCATCTGGAGCGAACAAGACGAAATCATTATCTTAAAGGTTGAATCTTTATTTGACTTTTTTCTCTTTTGATTTCTTTTTTTTTGTTTATACTTAACCCAAAACCCACATGCATTCTAATCCTCACTCTTCGCTTTTGTTTGGGAATTTAGGGTTTAAGAGATTACGGATATAAAAGTCCAGACTTTGATTGGGAGAGGTTTTTCAGTTACGCTCAGCGTGCTCTTAAGGCAAATGTCTCCGAGAAGGAGATGGTTAGGAAAATCAGAAAGCTTCAAAGGAATTTTCTTTTTCACAAGAGAATGATTGAGCAAGGAAATGATCCTCTGTTCACTCGTTGTTCGGATTCTGAGGCCTTTGGGTATGCTGCTTTGTTCTGGAACCACAATGACGATCATGAATCGCAGACACATAACGGAGGCGTAAGTGAATTTTTTTTATTCAGATTTTTTGTCAAATCTTGTTTCGTTGTTTCAACAATATGATTTGGTTTTGTTGATGAATTCAGGAGGAGACTATGGATGTGGATGAGCCCTTGAACGAGAATGGAGCTGAGCAGATAGAGGAGGGCATGACCATTGGAGAAGAGAGCCTTGAAGACGGTGATAATGACGAAATGCAGTCTGAGAAAGCTGTAAGTGATTGGTTTCGATAATCAGATTCTTTTTCAAGTCTTGTTTGGAATCAGATTGGAGTTACTAGTGATATATAAAGTGAAGTTACTAGATTGAAGTTAAGATGGTGTACGTATCTAGTCTATTCAAATTTCCAAAAAAAAGGAGATATCTTTGTTTAGTCTGAGATCTTCTTTCCTGCATGCTATGGTGATATAAATGCACAACAATAAAGCTTTTTATATGTTATATAAGAAACCTTTTGATTACAATTTATTTACCAATTGATTTACATGAGTATACTGAATGGTTCTGTCTTGACTTGGATCTGAAGAAACTACTTCTTTCTACACTTTGATCTTCCCAAAAACAGTGTGGCTACTGCTAATCTTGACTAAGCTTCCTTGATCCCTATTTTATTAGCTCCATCTTTATTGTTTTGTTTGATGATAATTATGGTTTGGTTTGGTATTTTGGATCAGTGGATAATGACATGTTTCTAATTAGCTTTTGTCAAATCATAGTGGAGTTGCTTGTTTTGATCAAAACTGTTTGATGAATCAGGAGGAGACGATGAATGTGACTAATGAGGATGAGCCATTGAACGAAAATGGAGCTGAGCAGACAAATGAGTGCAGGACCGGTGGAGATGAGAGTCGTGAAGACGATGATGATGATGATGAAATGCAGATGGAGAAAGCCGTAAGTGATTTCTAAGCTATCTAGTTTCTTTGTCAAGTCTTGTTTGGAATCAAATTAGTTTTTGATGAATTGAAATTGCTTGATCTTTATTGTTTGGTTTGATGAATTAGTGGATAATGAGATGACTCTAATTAGCTATTTGATTCAAGCTTTGTCAAATCTGTTTCTGTTTCAACAATGTGGTATTGGTTTGGTTGATGAATTAGGAGATAATGAAATGTTTCTAAGCTTTTTCAATTCAGCTTTTGTCAAATGGAGTTGCTTGTTCTGATCAAATTGTTTGCTGAATCAGGAGGAGCAAGCAGGTAATGAAAATGCGGCTGAGAACAGGGAACCACTTCATGAAGATGATGAGATGCAAGTGGTAAATGCAGATGAGCTTGTAAACGAAACTGGGGCTGAGCAGACAACCAAGTGCAGGACTGTTGGAGAAGAGAGTGGTGAAGACGGTGCTGATGAGTTTTGGGGTGTGAGAGATGCACTTGAGACTGAGGTGCTGAAAGGATTAAGTGATGATCAGAAGAAGTTTCACCTTGAGAAGATGATGAAGAACATTGCAAGTGGTAAAAGAAAGGAGCTGAGCGATGAGTGGAAAGAGTTATGCTCCCAGGAATCAAGATTTAACGCCAAGAAGCTTAGGCTTAGGGCTATGGTTGAAGTGGCTGCAAACGATGGATGAAATCATAGAACCATTTTGGTGATGATGATGTTTTAGGAGTTGACTCAGTAGTTAGTTGACTTTAGTACTTAAGTGGATGATGATCTTTTTGGACAAACTAAATGTGGTTTGTGTCTAATTAAGCTTTAGGTGAATGATCTTTTTGGGAAGTAGTGTTTGTAACACATCTAACTTCGATATTTCCATGTGTATGATATTCGGTTTCTTAGTCAAGTAAACTCTCTGCAAAAGTGAATGATCTTTTTGGTAAGTCTTTGTAACATATGTCTAACTTTGATATTTTCCATGTGTTATATGATATTCAGTTTCTTAGCATTTCAAGTAAAAAGCAAATCCTCTTGCAAGTCAAATTCCGAAACAAAAACAATCAAAGAGGATGGTAATTTCAAATATTTCTGAGAATGGTAACATGGCTTAAATCTCGTGGCAACAAATCAGAACAAGGCAAAAAGGATGCAAATTTCAGCCCAAATTTTATAAAAAATTATAGCAAAATCCATAAATTTGGCTCAATGGAAAATGTTCTGAGCAAACACCAAACCAAAAACACCAATCCATAAGTTTTGAGACCAGAAATCAGTTTTGCATTTTAAATAAGAGAGGACTCTCTAAAACCACCAGCTTACTCTCTTTTTGCAATAATCAATCCCTCTTTTTAAAATGCATTCTTGTACTCAGAAATGGCTCCTTTGTAGAACATCCAGTCTTCACTTGCCTCACTAATCGCCTCTTGTCCAAAAGGGTTCTTCATAATGAACTCTTGGACATTTGCAGACTGCACCATCTTCTCCAAATAAGCTCTAAGCTCACCACCAATACCTTCAAAATTCCATTGAAGCAACATACATAGTTAAATACAAGAGAACATTTTCAAAACAGAAAATGCTGTTTTGATTAAGAAACCAATTCAGTGAAAAAAAAGTTACCTAATGATTTGTCTGTAGTCTTGTTCTGGTGAGTGTATGAATGTGGGAATATTGATGTATATGGCTGTAAAGTTTCATTCAAAAAGTCAAAAGAATTGTTGTGAAAAATGATCAAAAGAAGATGAAGGACTCTACAAAAAAAGGCTTACTGGATTTAGCAAAGCCTTGTACGGTGAATCATCAAGCAAAACCGTATTGGTTTCATCAAAATCACCATATCTCTTCCAGATTATGCTGAGTTCCTTGAACACAATAACTTTGTTCTGGTTTTCAAGGCAACCAGAATTCGTTCTAGCACAATGAGACATGTCCTGCAACAACAAAATGAATTAAATTTTTTTAACAAACTCGTTTCCAAAATTAGTTAACAGGAGAGTGTATGGCAAGAAAAACTTACCCAACAAAACAGCAGCTTACTCTTCAAATCTCCGAGCAAGAACTCACTGATTCTTTCAACATTGTTCCTATAAAGTAAACAGAATTTAATCAATTCTAAATATGATCTAACATGTATATACAAAGTGTTAATATATATGAGTAATTGTCTTACGGGTTTCTAGAGGACCATACAGCAACTTCAAAATTCTCGAAGCAGAAGTTGAGAAACTCTTCAAGAAATGGTCTCTTAAAAACTGACAGAAACAAAGGATAAAAAAAGATGTCAGTTTCAAATAGTATTTGTTAGTGCTGACGACTCACAAAAGACAGAGGTTGATGAAACTTACTTCCCCTTCGTCCAATACTAATGTCTGGTTTTTGGCCTGCACGAGGAGAAACAATCTCTGCAAGCAACCCATTCAGATCAAGAACAAGGAGTTTCTTCCTTGCGACTGATGGGTTTGCTCTGCTTTCTTCTCTGTTCTCTATCACAGCAGCTTCATTGTCCTTTTCGATGTTTGTTGTATCATCTGAGACAACATCAACTTCATTCTCTTGCATCTCTAAGTCCTGATCCCCTTCTTTCAGCTCATCTGCAGAAACTTCCACTAGCTTTCCCTCATCAGTCTCAAGTTGTTCAACTGAAACATCTTTGTCTTCTTGATCAATAGCTTTAGAGACTTCTCCATTCTTGCTTCCATCATCTGTCTCTTTCTCACTCTCAGCCTCTTTTTCGTTTTGTGACAATGTTTCAGCATTTCCTATATTTATCAAACATATAATCAGTCTTAACCAAAAAATATCAAGACTACAATGTAACATAAATTAAAGTCTCAACATGCATACTAAAAAGGTTAAAAGACAGATCAAAAACATCACTAACTTTTGTTTTCCGTTTTGTGACAACATTTGGACTAATATCAAACTGGATTAGTGAGTCTTAACCAAAGTTATCAAGACTACGATGTAACATAAATTAAAGTCTCAAAATGCATACTAAAGGGTAGATAGATTATAAACATCACCAAGTATTTTTTCGTTTTGTGACAACATTTGGACTATTATCAAACTGGCTTAGTGAGTCTGAAACAATATATTAAGACTAAGATGCAACCTAAATTAAAGTCTAAATATGCATTTTCCTTTTGTAACAACGTTTGGGCATTACCTATATTTATCAAACATTTAATCGTCCACATAATCAAAGGAACGAGTCACTAACTTAAAGTTTTTATTTGCACAAAAAAAAAAAACTTAAAGTTTTTATATGCATACTAAATGCAACATAAATTAAATTAAAGCTATCAAGCTATAATGCAACATAAATTAAAGTTTTTATATGCATACTAAATGGGTAAAAAGACAAGTAAAAAACATCACTAACTTTTGTTTTTCGTTATGTGACAACATTGGGACTAATATCAAACTGGATTAGCGATTCTTAAACAATATATCAAGACTAAGACGCAACATAAATTAAAGTCTGAATATGCATACTAAAACGTTAAAAAGACAGATAAAAAGAACATCATAAATTATTTCATCTACTTACCATTAGAGGAGGAACTGTCTTCTTTGAACATCTTATGAATGATGCCATCCACACATTGAACCCTCTCCAAACACAACTGTGAATGCATTGCCTTGAGCTTTTTAAGTTTTTCCACCATCTTTCTCTTCCATGGTCCATTACGTATCATATTCCATGCTTCAAGCATGGTAGCTTCATCTAACGCAAAGGTTGTGACATTCTCTGCCTTCAAGAAAGCTACTATCATCTCTCCATCAGAAGTGCTTGCTGATTTTGCTGCTTCTTGTTTTCCTCCAAGCTTCTTCTTTGATTTGGAAGCCCAAACGCCTTCCTTTCCCCAGATCTGTCTCCACAAGTCGAAAGCTTTCTGATCAGAAGCTTTGGAATACACAATCTCTTTCTCTCCTCCTTTTCCTCTTGCACAAGACCTTTCCACAGCTTTTTCGAACTTTGTCTTCATCTTTCGAACTTTTTCTTCAATCTGGCTTTTACTAGCATCAAAACTGATAGACTTCTTTACGAAATTGTAAAACTCAGCCTTTTCCTTGAAAGGGTCTTCTCCTTTCTCAGAGGTGAAATCAAGAATGCCTTGGAGCAAGGCTATATGGTCTTCTTCAGTGAAGATTCTCTGAAACAGAACCTGTTTTTTCTTCTCATCTTCCTCTTTTCCATGCTTTTCTTCAACATTGGTAGTCTTCTTCTTCTTCTTCTTTGATGATTCCCCTGCCTCTGAATTCTTGAAAGGACGTTTGGCCATTAAGAAAATTTTAGAGAGAGAGGTTAAGCAGAGATTAAGAGAGACAGAGAGAGAGAGAGAGTGAGTGTGAGAGAAAACGAAGATTTGATTTCCTTCTCTTGTGTCAAGTGATTTAACAGGGAACAAATGGATAAATATGCATCGAACGACTGATATTGAACTTTGAAAACTGAAATTACTTTTAACGGCTAAGATTGTTTGGGAAGAGTAGTTAAAATAATATTAGTCGCTTCGTTTTCCTTCGTAGCTACGAACGAACAACGCTTTAGCTTGCTTCTTCATATTTTTTCAATTTATAGTTTGTTTATTTTTTTTGTGAGATTATAATTAAATTCATGTCTCGATAAAGTTACTCAAGAATAAATGAAGTATAACCTGCTAATACCTGTTCAGTTTCCCCTTTATCCGATTTTTTTTTAAACCTTTTCTAAACCTTAATCCCTAATTATTTTTAGCCTAAAATAACTATATTAACTTCAATAATTTAAAACTAATCTCATAAGTCAAAAAGTCAGTTCCTTACGCACAGCTTTGCTTTGGCTAGAACCATCGTACTTGGTGGTGTAACCCATCAAGGATCAATAGGTTTGTGACTCGAGATATAAGTAGTATCAATAGGTTTGATGATGTTGGTGCATTAAATGTTGTCGTCCTTGTGGAGATTAAGGATTGTAACGGTTAATTTGAGTAACAATCAATATTTAACAGCGAAATAATAAATTTGTGCACTTTACCTCACATTTGCCTTGTCTCCAGTTGAGGATTTACTGATTTAGTTAGGCAAAGAACAAAGCAATTTCGTTACTATTTAATATAAATAAAATCATTTTAACTTTAAAAAAATAAATTTATATGAAGTATTTTTATAATGTATAATCTTTCAAATACCAAAAAAAATTATAATAAATTATAGTAGTATTTATAACACAATAATAAGTTTGAGAAATGCTAGTTTGGATAATATTTGAGAAATGCTAATTTAGATAATCTTGTAAATAACAAAAACTCAAACTTTCACTGGTTGTTTGCAAAAAAAATGAAATTTTCCTTGAAGTTTCGGAAAAACTTCTTCTTACATATACTGATATACAATTTTCAACACATTCAAAATAGTATTTTGTGTGGTTTTAAAAGTGTTAGATATACAATTTAATATAATTATCTCCCAATGCGTGATAATGATGTTTTGATGATAATATTCTCCTTAACTTACAATTTGAGATCGTTAATCAAATATTTCTTCATACAGTTAATTTCAAGTTTTTTTTTTTTTTGACAACCAGTAAATTTCAAGTTTTAAGATAGGAATTCAACAAAGAAGTAATGGCCGACACACAAAAAAAGTGAAAATCAAATCAGTAATTACTTGGGTTTGGACTAAAACTAAATTAACGCGTGTCCCACGATGTGAAAGGCTAGCTCTGTACCTACATGCATCTTAACCGTCCAAATTTTACTGCATGCAGTTTACAAAGATCAAACGGTGATAGTTTCCTCTGAGTACGACACTAACCAAACACCAAGTACAAAACTAAAATACTGTCCAAAACTATAACCATAAAACGAGAGAAAAGTGTTTGTATTGTTCAGAGAGAAATATCAAATGGCTCCAATATTTAATAGCGAAATAATAAACTTGTCTTGTCTTGTCTCCAAATGAGGATTTAGTTTGGCAAGAACAAAGCAATTTGGTTACTATTTTGCTTAGCGATCCCGACTGATTGGTTAGTCCGAGAATTAAGAGCTAAGCATAATAGGCACATACAAATCTGAGACATTTGTTTGTATTACTTCTAGCTATGAACAGTTTTATGAATGCTTAAACGTCATAAAAAACACGCATTTTAATTTCTCTAATGATTAAGGTTTTGGAATTTGAAAAACATATTATCTACTAATGGGACTGACATTTTATCAAGGAGCATTAGGCAAACAAATAAAAAATAAACATTTACGTGCATGCACCACTTTGTTGGTAAGAATTTCGTTGATCCGTGACTTTACATTTTTACTATATTTTTATTCGTATTTAGAGAATTAGAGCCTTAATGATTTTTTTTTTCTTTCTTCTTTTAGAAATACCTTTCAATATGTACCACCAAAATCATTTTTCTTCTGAAATCAATACCTTAATAATATAGTATTTGGATTTGGGATTAGTATTTTTGGTTAAAGGTTTGATTTAAGGGTTTATGATTTATTTTTGAAGGTTTAAAGCTTAATATTTGTAAAAAAAAAAAAATTATGATATTTTTGAAAAATAATTCTAGCGATGATAACTTTGGAACAAAAACTTATTTTTGTAGTTTTTTGAAATTTACATTTTTAAAATACTACGGTTTTGGGATATAATTAAATGTTATGATTTGTTCGTTTTGAGCTCTAACTTCTTCGGTAAGTTTACGTATGTAGGAATGAATGAGTTGATAAAGTATTGCATTTTAGTTTTGGTTACGTTTGATTTTCAATTCTTTTAAAATGGATCATTGTGTTTCAATAACTAACTTTTAAAATGGAACATCGTCTCTTATCCATCATACTTTTTTTAACTAAATAAATAAATTTTCTTTACAGAAGCCGAAAGTCATTTGAAAAAAATAAATTTGATTTTCTTACATTTTTTTGGAAAGAATGTAAAACTGGAAAATATCATATTTAAGCCAATAATATATTATTCTCTAAAAACAAATGTAAGTATATATACCGGAATCGAGATCTAGTGGTTTGTACTACTTTCATGGCATGGCTTTCAAACTTTAAAAACGTGTGTGAAATACTGAAATGTAGCTGACAAAAAAAAAACACTTCATTACCCATATTATTATAATTTCATTCATATGAAAAGGAACGTATCTTAATAAAACAACTTGGTTTTAACTTTTAACACACAACACAAAAAGACAAGACAAAACAGCAAATACAGCATACCACAAAAAAAAAAAAAAAAAAATACAGCATACCACAATATTACAAGTCTTACGTACGTTTTACCAACAACTTTAGAGTTGCAACGTACGTAGAAATGTACTAATACTTAATAAAGACAAGAAGTCGAAAACCCTCCAACTTCAACGAACCAATGCCATGCGACGTCGTTGACTCTCTGAAGGCAGCTTCACGTCAGTAGCCAAACCGATGATCTCGAGAAAGCGGACGATGTACCAAGAGATGTCGATTTGCCACCATTCCAAGCCTTGTCTCGCCGATGACTCGAAGGCATGGTGATTGTTGTGCCAGCTCTCTCCAAATGACAAAACCGATAGCCACCTATAACAATTTTAAACTACTTAAGAAAAAAAAATATAAAAAAAAAAAATTAAAACACACATATACATGCACCCTAAAATACCTATACAATTATGTGTGTTTTTATCCCTAAAAACCACGTATATTATTGTTAAAAAAATATTTGCTTTTCACCCCATACATCTTGAGGACAAGAGCAAGTCTGGATCTCTTCGGTCACTAGGTTATATTTATTACCTTTTGATTTTATATAAAAGGTGAATACTTTTGGTTAAATCAATAAGGTATTTAGTATAATTGGGTTTTTTATTTTAAATACAGATTTTGGTGTGTCTATTTTAAAAACACCACTTTTTATTGAGTAATTGATGAATTCTAAACCATAACCCCTAAAATATAAATTTAAAAATCTAAAACCAAATTATAGCCAATGACTAGTGAATCCAAATCTATATATTAAAATTTTGAAAAAGTATAATTTTAAAATTGACATCTAAGAAATGTATTTTTGAAAATTGACATCACAAAAGGGTATTTCTTAAAATTTCTCTGTCTTTATCTTTAATAAGATATATACTTTAATTAATTATTATAATATAATTTGATGAATTTTAATTGCAAAGACAGAATACATTTTCCAAATACATGTTTGCGTTTACAATTTATAAAAATCAAACAGTATGACTTTTTCTTTAGTTTAAAAATAAAATTCACTATTTTATTATGTTTTTCAATGTGTAATAATAATTTAAATGGACCACGCGTAAAATAACACAATCAAAATATCTCTATGCATGCCTTTGGAGTTTGGACAATTGGTGGGTTTCCGTTTCAGAATTTTGTACTCTTCTCTATGATAGATGACAATGATATTTTTTCTCCCTGCTTAGTCATAGTCAAATAGTTTTAGAGCAAAGGCATTGCACAGCCTCTCTCACCGTATCTGAAGCCCAAAATTAAATAAAAAGCAAAAATAATTACACAGGTGGACAGGCTGAAGCCCAGAAACGTATCTTCCGGAAGAGGCCCGAGATACGTCTCTACTCGCCAGGTGTCGCGTGGAGAAAACCCCATGAGATATTTTTTGTCTTTTTGTATTAATTTTTTTTTTCTGTTCTTCAAAAAAAAAATTCACCTTCGTCTTCTTCTTCTCTCCTTCTCGTTTCTCTTCGATCTTCTTCTCCTTCTTTTTAATTCTTCTGAATTCCTAATTTATAAAATGAAAAACCTTCGAAATCTATGATTTGATTCGTTTGGGGTCTCTAATGGTAAAGAAGCAAAAATCAATCACCTTCAACTAATCGAGCTCAAACAAGAACTAATTTCAATTTTCAACTAAACCAATCTTCAACGATTGCTCAAACAAGAACTAATTTCAAATTTCAGTCACCAATGCTCTTGATTGTTTAATCCAATTTGTGTGTCCTTTCTCCAACCCTTTTTGTCAATTAGCGATTTTTTGGTTTCCGATTGATTGACTTAGATCTTGCAATACAGCTTAAATTGTTTCCCTGAACATTTTTCTTGTTTGTGTAGTGTGTCTTGAATTTCATGTGTTGGCCTAATCTGGCTATGGTTTTTGTGTATTACTTCAGCTGTACTAGCAAACATGTTGAACGAAGAACAATGTAAAGAATTGAAGATGGGATCTTATCTTGTTGTTGCTGCTTCATCAGCTAATCCTCATCATCTAAGATTCTTTTTTTTTCGATTGTTAAGAACTTTTTACAGTCTCTGCAATGCATAGCTTAAAA